GTCATCTGCAAAAAGCAGAGACGAGATCCTGTGGTCCCCAAACCGGACTCCCTCCGGCCCCTGGCTGCACCTAGAAATTCTGTCCATAAAAATAATGAACAGAACCGGTGACAAAGGGCAGCCCTGCCGGAGTCCAACACGCACTGGAAACAAGTCTGACTTACTGCCGGCGATGCGAACCAAGCTCCTGCGCCGATCGTACAGGGACCGGGTGGCCCTTAGCAAAGGGCCCCGGACCCCGTACTCCCGGAGCACCCCCCACAGGGCGCTGGTGAGAAATATGAAACAAATCTGAAATTTTGGAGCAAACAAGTGACGTATTCATCAACATGACTGACTGTGAGAAACTGTCAGAGCAAATGTTGTTTGTCATCCATACACTTTAAACTGAATGAACTAGGAGAACCCTGTAGCTGAGTGGTTACTGTGAAGCGCACCATATACCCTGCTGGGGTACGCAACTTCGGCGGTTAAACTCCGATGGCTCTGTTGCAGGTCTCTGTTTCCCGTTTCCTGTCTGCCTCTATGCGACTCGCTAATTAATAAAGCCAAAAGTCCATAAATAAAGACTCTTAAATGGAATACACTAGTGTGGAGAAAGACAGGGTGATGGATCTCTCACATGGGCCTAGAACTTACAGATATTAATTGCTGTGTTTTGTTTCATCTTCATGATGTCATCTGCTGCAGTGCCAGTGGGCGTCAGCTGAGTGAGGTGTTCATCCAGCTGCCGTCTCGAAAGGAGCTGCCAGAGTACTATGAGCTGATTCGCAAGCCTGTGGACTTCAGGAAGATCAAGGTCAGATCAGCAACGATGATTCTTTTGCTTGATTGGTTACAGCAGCACAACAAAGAAAGCATCTGCTTTGTTGATTATTGATAGACTTATATGTATGCAAACATGGGCAACTGTGCCTCAGTGGGTAGAGAGGTTGTCTCCCAACTGGAGGTTCAAATCTCAGTGCCTGCAGTCCACTTCCACGCAGTCCTTGGGCAAGACACTGAACCCCCAAGTTGCCCCGGATGGTTAGATGGCCGATGGTTGAGGTGGCACCGCAGATGGCTGCCTCGGTTCTGTACCAGAAACAAATTTCTTGTGTGTAACATACTTGGCCAAATAAAGGTGATTATCCTGATTATGTCGCTTTTCATAATATACCAGGTGATGTACATCTGTCATTCCTTTCTGACACTAGGAGAGAATTCGAAGTCATCGCTACCGCAGTCTGGGTGACCTGGAGAGAGACGTCATGCTGCTCTTCCAAAATGCTCAGACCTTCAACCTGGAGGGGTCAATGGTGAGCTGTCATTCTATCTGTTTTGTAAAAGTTTCACTTAGAGCATCATATGCTGTATATCTTTAACTGGGTGTTTGTCTGATTTGTAACAGTGAAAGATGTCTGCCTCTACAGGTTCTATATTTAGGAAACCAGGAGGGTTGGTGTCTTGTAATTAATTTTAAAAATCTGATCAAATGTGTATGATACATTTTTATTATATGCATGTGTTTAATATATATATCAACTGCCCTGACAAAAATATTTTAAATATATTGACTTTAATATATTACTTTATTTATTTATTATATATGTAAATATATTTGCACCGATCAGCCATAACATTATGACCACTGACAGGTGAAGTGAATAACACTTATTATCTTGTTACAATGGCACCTGTCGGTGTTTGGGGTATATTAAGCAGCAAGTGAACATTCAGTCCTTGAAGTTGATGTGTTGGAAGCAGGGAAAACGTGCAAGCGTAAAGATCTGGGTGACGTTGACAAGGGCCAGACTGTGATGGTTGACAACTCGGTCAGAGCGTCTCCCAGACTGCAGGTCTTGGTGGGTGTTCCTGGTCTGCAGTGGTCAGTATCTACCAACAATGGTCTAAGGAAGGACAACGCTGATCCCTGTCCACCTCCGAAAGCACCTACAATGGGCATGTGAGCATCAGAACTGGACTACTGAGCAATGGGAGAAGGTGGCCTGGTCTGATGAGTCACATTTTCTTTTACATTATGTAGATGGCCTGGTGCATGTGCGTAGGGAAGAGATGGTACCGGGATGCACTATGGGAAGAAGGCGAGCAGGATGAGGCAGTGTGATGCTTTGGGCCATGTTCTGCCAGGAAACCTTTTGACATGTACCACCTCCCTCGACATTGTTCCAGACCAAGTCATGGCAGTGTATTCCTTAATTACAGTGGCCTCTTTGAGCAGGATAATGCTCCTGCCACACTGCAAAAATCATTCAGGAAAGGTTTGAGGAGAAGTGTTATAATCACCTTTATTTGGCCAAGCATGTTACACACAAGGAATTTGTTTCTGGTACAGAACCGAGGCAGCCATCTGCGGTGCCACCTCAACCATCGGCCATCTAACCATCGGGGGCAACTTGGGGGTTCAGTGTCTTGCCCCAGGACACTTCGACATGTGGACTGTAGGCACCGTGATTCAAACCTCCAACCCTCCGGTTGGGAGACGACCGCGCTGCCCACTGAAGCACAGTCGAACCACAGCACAACAATGAGTTCAAGGTGTTGACTTGGCCTTCAAATTCCTCATATCTCACTCCCTTCAAGCATCTGTAGGATGTGCTGGACAAATAAGTCCTCGGGGCCCCTACCTTGCAGCTTAGAGGACTTACAGAATCTGCTGCTGACCCACCCTTCACAAAGGTGTTAGTAATCACACCTGATGTGTGGGGCTGTGTATTTATGTCACTGTTGCCTTTATCATCATGGGGATAGCATCCTGGTGTTTTCTGCCACACTTTTCTTCTGTGAGCAGATATATGAGGACTCCATCGTGCTCCAGTCGGTGTTCACCAGTTTGAGGCAGAAGATCGAGAAGGAGGAGGAAAGCGAGGGAGAGGAGAGCGAAGACGAGGAAGAAGAGCAGGACGAAGGATCAGAGTCCGAATGTAAGCATGTCTGTATGAAGAGAGCAGCACAGAAGAAACTCTTCAGTCATATTTTATTTCAGTCTGTTTGTAAAGTGTTATTGTTAAACGAACCTTCAGTGAGTATTTTACTTTGCCAGTGGCCAGAACGCGCTGCGATGCCCAGGCTGTCGCCATCTCAGAGCCCATTCTTCACTCGAGACACCTCCGTTTCCCTTCAGTTACATTTTTGAAATGTTTTTTCATTTAAGTTAGAATATAAACATGTTGTGCAGATGTGTTTGTGTGTGGGTTTGTCTGCAGCTCGCTCAGTGAAGGTGAAGATCCGTCTGGGCAGGAAGGATAAAGCTGGAGATCGGGGAAAGGGACGCAGCAGACGAACAGGGCGCACCAGAGCCAAACCCGTCGTCAGTGATGACGACTCCGAGGATGAGCAGGAAGAGGTAACTCACTCTGTGTACGTGTGTGTGTGTGTGTGTGTGTGTGTGTGTGTGTGTGTGTGTGTGTGTGTGTGTGTGTGTGTCTGTGTGGATCTAACCCCGTGTAAATCACTTGTGATTGCAGCGGAAATTGGGAGAGAATGAAAGTCAATCAAACATCATGTCAAGTACAAGTAGTTTTCTAGGTTTGTCTGCTTCCTCTCTTGCAGGAGCGCTCCCTCAGTGCTACTGATGAAGAGTCCTGAACTGTACTCTGATGTGTAAGAAAAGGAAGTTTAAAGGGATGTTTCACCAACTAACTGAGCATCACACACAGTAAATAAAATGAACCCCTGTCAGCTCCATCCACCCTCAGTCAAATGGCAGAGAACTACAACAGGAGGAGGTTTGCAAAACTGCAGTATCACCTGGAAGCAGTAATATCATAATCAGATGTCATAAAATGCACAAGTTAATTAGGCTATGCACATCACTGCAGTCAATGATTTCTTCGTCTCTGCTGGGACTCAGTTGGACACCAAGGGATGAAATGAGCTTTTTATCTTTGTGTGCAAGTTCAAGAGCATGTTAGTGAGAACAGCGTCTGTGTGCAGCTGTCAGTGAACTACTTGAATGAACCTAGTGACAGTCTGCTCTGTTTACATGTATAAAGAGAGAGAGTCGCTTAGACAAACATAACTGATGAGCATTAAAATGCAGGAGTTCACATTATATTGCAGCAACCTAGAACAAACATGCTGCACATGATTTTACTGATCCTTTTTCATTATCTAAAAAATGTTGATCCTAACTTTGAACTAGACAACTGTGCTATTAAATTTTCATCATCAGCCTTTACTTACTGGAAGCACTTCTTCAGCTCAACTTAGAAAATATACTTCAAAATCCCTGAGCTGGGTGTAGCTGCTAATTTATGGAACTAACTGAAACAATTGCAACATTTGACTTACAGTCCCCCTACGATAAGCATTATACAGACATTAATAAATGGTTTATAACTTACTATACTGTAGCTCCAAGCAAAAGGGACATTTTCAAGTGTTTATTTAGGTACAGTATTTGTCAACACTTGTAGCTTCACTTACAGAGACATATTTTATATTATCAAAACAGTTTTATGAAATTGTCTTTCATTTTTTGTTTATAAACCATATGGGTGTCTGCAGGAGGAGTTATAGTTCTTGACAAATACATTAATAAACGCTTCATATCTGGTTGCAGCTGCATTATAATGTGTTATAAACACTTAGTAAATGTGACCTTACCTCATGTCTGGACATAAACCAACTGGATGTTTCACCTCTGCTTCACAGTGGCGATGTGTTGTAACAGCAGTTGACCCACTCTGGAGCCACTGTGATTACCAACGTGTGTGTACATCACACAGTTCACTCATATGTCATATTTGTGACCGGGGCTCACTTTTTGACTTGGAAACCCAGGCTGCTGGGTGTTTCCAGACTCCTAAGATGCTCTGTAGTAACTGACCACAGTTATTTGACTGAGGTTTAATGGAGCCGAGTCCAGGTCACGCCCCAGTATTGTATATACGGTACAGTATCAAAACAACCTGCTGCTGCTTACCTGTTACACTTCCAGTATAAGCACTTGTAACTGTTGATTGTAGACATAAAGAATCATGAGGTTGTATTTCATCAATGAGTACTGTAATTTTAATTGATTCTCTTTTAGTTGTTGTGTGGTGGTTTTAGGGTTTAAGAACCATGTGATGTGTTTTGGCACTCTTTATGTTTTTTATTTTAACACAAAGGACCAGAGGCTCTTCTCTGCTTGTGAATGTCTGATGGCTGTGTGGTGTTGGACATACTGTAAAGGGGTTTTTTAGAGTGTAATGTCAATGCACGTGTGTACAGCTCGCAAGTTCAGTACTGTACTTTTCTCATTATGCTTGGTTTACTAGAGTTAAGAAGACACAGCCAAAGTATCAGTGTTTTCTCCACTAAATTATTAAGATCTGTCTGTGTTGTCTTGTGTCATTGTTGCCGGAACTCAAAACATAACAATAAACCACAGTCAACGTGAATGTTGTTGTTCGTGTGATAAAACAGCTAAACAACAAAATTCATTGTGGTGGAGCGTAGCAAGTCGTAGTAGAGCACAATGGAGCAGAATGGTTTGATTTGGAGCTTCATGCATGTTTCATTGTGTTATTAGGGCCAAGCAGTGAAAAGCCTAGTCAGGCTACCCTTTATTTAAAATGCACAACTAAATAGAATTTAACAAACCACATGACAACACCATTAACAAAAACAAAGTTATTGAGACAATTTTAAAGTTTTAACTGTAGCTGTCCCATTCCTCCTGCTCTTCACTCTCAGCAAAGTTGATCTCGTCATTTTGTTGTAAAAAGCCTACGTGCTCACTCACTTTAAATTGTTTTGGCAACAAGTAGTTGTTTTTCCTTTAATTTGCCAAGAGTCTGTATGACTCACCACTGACTTCAGAAGTCGGTAAATTGTATGTTTTTACTGAATCCCGTACAGGTAACAGGTGTAGTCAGAACTGCAGACTGAGAACCTGCACACAGTACTTTCAGTGTGCCTCCCTGTGGGTGTGTTCAGTGGGTGTAGTGTGAATGTGTAAGCTCCTATGCTGACATTCCAAAAATACCTCCTGCCGTTCATTCCCTGCCTCCAACAGGAGCCAGCCAAGGCCCTCCCCCCACTATGTGCACACAGGGTCCCCTTATAGTAGCATAAGTAGAGTTTGTCTTTCTGATTGACCTGATTTAGGGTTTATTTGAGGAGACAGACTGATTTTTATGTTGCTTCAGCTCATAGCCATGGTTTGTACATTTCATTATAATTGTAACTTAGTATTCAGACTTTGACTTGGGGACCAAGATGGGAATTACAGGGGGCGTAGTAATTATCATGGACAAGTCTTCTAAACCAAAGCGCTCTCTACCTCACAGATCAGTCAGAAAAACTCACACTCATAAGACACTTTGGAACTGGATCAAGGAATTACATAAATTTGCATAAATGGAGAGATAAGTAGACGGGGATGTAGAGCACTTTCTCTCAGTAAATCACTTCCAGGGAAAATGTACCTAGTCATGGATGCATCCCCCTCTGAGTAGCTCATAATAGTTTCTCTGTGCTGCATTTGTGGTTATGTTTCCTAGACTTATTTTGCGTTAATGGTGATGTTTTGTATTACAAATGTTCTGTGTGCTTTTGAAGTGGAACAGAAAACATAGACTGTGGATATAAACCTGCAGTTTTAAATTTGCACAGCTCTAGTTTCATCCTTATGAATCAAGTTAAAGTCTGACTTTTAACAAACCAGACTCCTCAAAATTTATTTTAGATCCAGCATTTGTAGATGCTGCCTCTATTGCACACATTTAAGTTGGTTTTATTTACAGGGAAGATTTTAGCTTTTTCAAATATGTAAATTAATGTGCTGAAACCGGCTTTTAAATGATAAGTTCACATGCACATGGTTACACTGAATCAGTCTTTGCTGGCTGTAATTATTAAACCTGTTTGGCAGGCTTTTATAATATCCCTTTCAAATGTAAATCTGAGGCTTAACTGGAGCTAAGCTGAGGCTTCAGCAGTCTGAGCTGATCAATCACAGTCTCTCAAACTTGCAGTGTTCTTATTGCAACATTCCTTCTTTTTGTGTCTGTGTTTGCTGTGGTGGAGGGATTGTGACACAAAGAGGAAATATTGTACAACAGGATTGTAATGTTGGAAGATGCCTATTGATTTGTTTAGGTCAGGTTAACCTGGCCTCATATGAACGGAAAATAAGCTGGACTGTGTTAACAGAAGGAGGCCTGTGGATTGTTATGCCTCATCTCTTACACTGCAATCACATAGGGGTCTCTTAAAATAGGAAAAGGTTTATAATACTGACAAATACAGTACATTAATAAACACGTCATTCTAGCTATGCACAATTACATCTTAGTGTCTTATAGACCATTTATTAAATGTCTTTACTGGTTAGTAGATGCTAATTAGCTGGATCCAAAGCAGACTGTTAATGCTATGTAGAATTTATTTGCTGTGTACACATTTTTCAAATAATCTTGAAGAGACGGCTTCTGAAAACCAAACTAAAAGGTCTACCACTCCATCCAAGAGGTTTAAAATACCCTGAAAATGACAAAGGATGTGGAGAGAGTTTCCCAGAGTCTGGCAGCAACCCCCACCTCATGTCAGTAGGAAACAAAGCTGCAGTAGGATCCAGCTATTGGTGTACCCACAAAGGCCCCCGTGTACTGGTACATGCTATCCGTTTTTTCATTAGTTCATTCATTCTTCCTGTTACACACACACACACACACACACACACAAACCATCTCAGTGATACAGCAACATTGTGGCTCCTCCCCGTCGGTGCTCATGTCCAATTTTAAACATCACACCACTGCCGTAGCACCGCCCTCCTGTCAGCCTCATAGAAAATGGTCAGTTGTGACTCGGACTCTACAATATTTGGTTTGCACTCGCTTTTTACGCACAGCCGCGGCGTGACTCCTCTGCTTGTCCACTCCATCTGAACCAACGCCTTTTACGCACAGATCCTGTGTTGGAGTCTCCTCCACACTTGTAGCTGACTTGACTTTTCTTTTCCTATCAAATACGGAGAGACAGGGAGGACGGGACATGACCTGGACGCGGAGGCCACTCACCGGAGGGTCCATATTTTGGTGTCTGCTGATGCTGATTCATTGTTCGCTTCACGCAGGTATGAAACGTGATTTCCTGGCAAGTCGTTTATTTGTTTTACCATACAGAGGAGAGGGATGCTGTGGAAGTTGGCGAGGCTCAGTGATTAGATACATATGAATATAAAGCATATTCCATGTACCAGTGTTTATCACTTAACCTCACACCAAATGGGAGTTGGTCCTTTGATTTGGGCTGGTTTGGGGTTTCCGGGCTGATTATATGTTATGGATGAAATGTTCCAATGAGGCTCTTGCACTTATCATGTAAAGTGAATGAGAGCTATTTTCAGATCAGAACATTTGGTCTGTTCTGAATTTTACTTTAAATGTACCTGTAAATCCGATATGGAAATTTAAAAAAATGATACAGGGGGTTAAAAACACATTTGATTTACAATTTCGACATGTATGAATGGAATTTACGCACTATGATTTGATTGGTCCTGTGTGTCCTAAGAATGCCACCCAGCAGCCAATGACGTCGGCCGTGTTGCCGACCGGTGTCAAGTTGCAGATGGTGGAATTAACACAGAAACTGGCGGCTGTCAATGGAGGAGCGTCCGTCTACGGCATGCACAGCGCCTCAAGCCACGCCCCCTCGCGTTAAGTCACTCAACTTGCGCCCCCCTCCCCATTTCCTCTTGGTTGGGGGGCGTGACCGGAGTTATCGTGAGGGGCGTGAGTCAAATTGCGTAACGTGAGGGTGCGTGGGTTCAGGCGGTCTGCACACCGCAGCCGGACCCTACGGACCCCTGTTGGGGTCAAAGAGAGAAAGTGCGGCTTTAACGCCGGCTTTGTGGGAGCATTGTTAAGCTAAACGAAATGGGATGCGGGAAATAGTGCATTTCTCATTTAGCTTGCCAGGCTTATTCAGGAGTAGGCCAATGCTCGCGCGTGTGTCCGTACTACACATAGGTTATAGGCACAAAATAATCTGTCACATCATGCCAGAGAAAGAAGATTCTATTTTATCATTCTGTTTATGTGAAATAAAGGAATTAATGAATATTTTGAGTGTTACATTGAACATCCACAAGTCCCCCAGTCCATGTACAACATGTATTGCAAAAGTAAGGATACATAGGATATAAGAAAGCACTTTAATTCTTATAGCTCGTTTTTATAGCACTTAAAGTTGTGCTTTACAGGAAGAGGACTAGGAAAAGGGGTCGAGAGTTGATTAAAGAGACAGAAAATGTCATTAATGCAGTCATTGAAGTAATGCTGATATAAGACGGGAACAAATGGCTGAATGAGATGTAGGTTATATATATTTTTTGCTTCTTTATTGAATAAAAGTTGTTAATATTAACATGAAACCACAACCTTTTCTATTTTATGTTGGAACTGGTATTAATAATGGTCTCCAGTTTCCAGAGGTAAAGCAAAGAGTTTGGCAACAAATTAAGCCATTTATTTTCAGGGAAAGATGAAAAGAAGAGAAAGAGTTAATCTTGTGCTCCCCACGGCCAACAGTGTGCTGAGAATGAACCCAGCTCCCACTCTGCAGCTGCTCAAGTAATCTCAACTGTCCTCCAAAGGACAGCTCCAATCCAAGTCATAAAGAGGAGTTTATATAAAAAAAGGGCCTGCACTTTTACCTACATGGGAGTCCAATTTTAGACCTTGGTGACTCACAAAGACACACACTGTGGGGCTGCCACCAGTCAGTTACCTCTGCAGCATCATGCACACATATGCATCCTTTACTGAATACACTGCAGCCTTTCTTCTTTTCAACATTAACCCACAGGATACTGGCATTAAGTGAAAGGTAGAGAGGAAATGCGCAGCAGTTTGTCTCGTCTGCAGGCGTTGACCTCATTATCAACTCTTAGATTTGAAATCCTGCATGAAGCTGAAAGTCCAAACCTAATTTGAATATGTCCAGCACTATTGATGTATCATCCAGTGACCACAGCAAACTCATCTCAGTAATGTGCAGGCAGATTAAGGAACCACATTATTCCCTGGTTATTTATTAACTGCTGTGTGTATGTTTGAGTTAATAGACACACCTCTGTGAAGGCTTCTGGTGTGTCCACATTCTGTGCATGGGCCCTAAAAAGACAGAAATGCATCAGTTAAACAACAAAGTCACAGAAGCATTGTGGGAATGCACCATTGCGATAATGACGACTCTAACCTCTTGGGAGTATCTTCCGTTCATTCATCCAGCTTCTGCTGTCACAAAAAAGCACAAGCTTTTAACATTTTGCATTGAAGCATAGCATTCTGTTTTGTGTATGAGGTGCTCCAGTGGCCTTACAATCTGCTGACTGTCAGGTCCACACTTGGGTTATATACAGCATCTGAAGGATGCAGTTTCTCTGCAGAAACAGCTGCACTTTCCGCCTGAGAAGCAGTTCAAACAAGTCTGTTTACCCACACTTTGTGGTCTGTCTGTAGGTGTAAACATCAGCAGCATGGAGCTTGTTCTGCTGTTCAAATCAAGATGAAGTAGCGGTTGTCTGCGTGACAGGTTTGCAGCTTTTAGACATTTGACTGTGACTTATGGTCAGCCAGTTCAATTTCCAGAAAAGCTTTAGGGACCAAAAATATGTTCAGTGAGGATTAATGAGTAACTTAACCGCTTATGCTTTGTTACAAATGAAAATGGAAGTAGCTCTAAATATTGGGGATTTTTTTTATTGCACTTGACTTACAATTGGACAAAACAGCAAACAATGTCTTTTTGAGTCACCAGGCAGAAACTGCACAGAAAAGATGTCCTGAAGAATTACAACTGAACTGATTTCTTGGAAAGCAGCAGGAAAGATTAGCAGTGGAAAAATGGAAACACTAGGCTGTATCGTTTATAGTTTCCACCCTCAAAGATGAAGTCAGGAGGTTGAATGCCAGGAAGTCCCAGCATGTTGACTACTTCTGGTCGATTCAGTGAAATAAATGAACATTCTTAAAAATGGAGCATGATGGAAGGAGACTTCCATGGAAACTCTTTTGTTATAAACGTGCCAGCGCAGACTTTCAGGAACAGCGGGAACGTGCTTTGGAAACCCTTTTCTTGGAAGCCCCACTAGCGGCATGTCTGGCCCCTCTGTAAACATCTGTGTCAGTTTGTGGTTTCCCTGGAAAGCAGAATGTTATGGAGTGCACAGGAAAAGCTTCCCTAGAGGAACCAATGTTTTTCTGTTATTCAGTGGCACAATGAAATTTTTTAATGTTCTGAATAACAAATGATGACGACTTCTTACATCTGATTTTCAGAACAGGAGGAGCTAACTCTTGGTGGCAATCCCAGTATTGAGAAAGCACCCTTCCCTTATTTTACCATCTTCTGAAACCCATCCCTTTGTCATAATGGGTGAGACCTGTACTGTTGCTTTTTAACTGTCATCACTCAAGCTGATGGACTTCCCGGTGTTTAATCTTCACCTGTGTCTGCCGGGCACCATGGTGATGCTGTTATGAGGAAAGCCACTCTGGGGCCAATAAGCAACTGGTGGTGTGATTGTTCAGCTCCTCCCATGCTATTGTCTTAAAGGCATAGTTTGACTTGTCCCCAGTCTCCAAGTCACAGTGGGCACCGGTAGTGCGGAGGTGATGGAGGATGACACATACTTGTTGTGTTAAGTTCACATGAACTGTGATGTTGATGCCCTTTTTGCTTTGACTGGTGGTTTCACTGAGGCGTGGTCATCGAGGGCCAAGACCTCAGATCCTCAGATAAACCAGGGTCCATCTAAGATTCTTGGACAACTTAACCTTAATAAAGCTGTTGCAACTTGCATGACAGAAACCGGTGTGAGTCCTGTTCCATAGCTGAAATGTGTCATACCGGTGACACAGCAGAGGCGTGCGTGGTTTAAACATTCCTTCTTTTTAGTCATGTAGCATTGATGGGTGCTGCCCCTGTATGTCTAAGAAGCTAAGCTGTAGATAAGACCAACAGTTAAGTACATAATTAAACATGTAATAAAAGCAATAACAAACAAAATAATAATTTAGTGAGTCAGAAGCTGCATCATTACATGAAATAGACCCTTTTAAAATAACTAAATAAGTTTATTTTATTTGTCATTCTCCCTTTTTCACCCTCTTTGTTTATATTTTTAGTTTTAAAAACATTGAGAAAAAGTTTGAATCACTTAAAATTTTGTTTGTGTTTGTGGGTATGAGTGCACGTGTGCGATAAGGGCCGATAACAAAAGATAGGACTGATAATTTTATATTCTCACAAGTAGTTTTACGCTAAAGTTTTATAACATCCTGTCTTGATCCAACTTGAGCCAGGGAATTGCACACTGTTGTTATCTTAATTTGGTAATCCCCTCTGGGCTAAGCAAAGATTCCACAGTATGCTTTTCACACAGTTCACTTATCTGAATTTCAGTGACCTTCAAATGCAACTTTATGTCCCGCACATGATTTTTAGTTAACCTCACAAGGATGTGTGTGTTGACACAAGCTTACATCACTACAAGATGCCGATAATGTCAGAGCATGTAAATGAAGTTTGTCCTCGTGTCACTCTGAATGAACTTGTTTTTAATGTATGAACGTCCTTTTTATTGGTTGCAGATGCAGCGTTCACCTGCAGATCCACTCAGCTTAAGTGTGGAAACGGGAGGTGTGTCACCCGCAAGTGGATCTGTGATGGAACAGACGACTGTGGCGATGGAACCGATGAGCTGCCTGAAACCTGCGGTGTGTTATTTTTTCACTGAGGACCTATAACGTCAATCCTGCCTGTGAATGGCATATGCAATACTTGACAACTAAGCTGCACCAAATAATTGTGTATAAATGAAACTATTTCTATAAAATATTACTAATACAAGCAATGAAAAGAATGAAGAACCATTTTGACTTTATTGCTTTACTTGCTTGTGCCACTATTATCATCAGCAACAGTTACAACAGTGAGTCAGAAATACATTAACAAAGGTAGTGTAGAACAGTAACTTTCAGGTAAATGATTGCTCAGTTTTACAGTACACTCTAATTCTAGCCACAAGCCTTATCTCTCTGACATTTGAGTCATACGTCCTCTTCCTGCCCTCAGCAAGCAAAATCTGTCGGGAGTCAGAGTTCAATTGTGGTCCTCCCTTGAATCAGTGTATCCCAGGAAGCTGGCACTGTGATGGCAAAGCTGACTGTGACAACGGGGCTGATGAGAAAAACTGCAGTAAGTTTTACATTAGAATAGACTTTATTTACTCCATCAATACCTATAAATGATTCTTAAATTATACAAAGAATAAAGCTGAATACTTAAAAGCATAGTTATTACTTACATAGTCACAAAGACCCATGCAAGTAGGTTTAAACCAGTCTTATAATAAGTTGCTCAGACATGTGAAATGTGATAACAAGAACTCTCAACTCTATCAGTGTGTTCTAGTTGCCATATTATCAGATTAATTTCCCTCTTCTCTCTCACCTGACTCACCACAGCAGCCAAACAGTGCACAGCTGGAGAGTTTCGTTGCGCCAGTGGTCAGTGTATATCCACCGCTTTCGTCTGCGACAATGACAACGACTGCTTGGATGGCTCAGATGAGGCTTCCTGCCCCAAACCCACTTGCAACTCTCGCTCCTTCCAGTGCAACAACTCCGTGTGTGTGCCAGCCCTGTGGCGCTGCGACGGAGCCAGCGACTGTGCTGACGGGTCTGACGAGTGGCCGGAGAACTGTGCAGGACACCAGTCGGGGAAGGCAGCGAGCTGTGAGGCCAACGAGTTCCAGTGTGTGAATGGGGAGTGTATCCACAGCAGCTGGAGGTGTGATGGAAGCGCAGACTGCCAGGACAAATCAGACGAGCTCAACTGCAGTAAGTTGGCTTTCATGGAGTATTACTTATTCCTTCCTAGCTTTTTTCATTCCATCCATCTTCTCTTCTGCAAAACTCTTTCTCTCTAATAAATATTCTCTGATTCCATTTTAATGCATTTTAATACAAAGCAGAGCCTAACAGGTGTAATCTATTCATGCCTGAGCATCCATAACATGCTATTGTTATCCAGAGCCACCTGTGCACACTCAGTATTGTCAATATTGACACAAGTTTAACGATAAATCATGTCAGTGATGATGTTTCTTCTCATTCTATAGTCTCTCATTCTTCGATGCAATCCCTTTGTCACTTTCTCACCCATTTGTCTCCATTTATAGGTCGCTCCACTTGTCATTCAGACGAGTTCCAGTGTACTGACGGTACATGTATCCATGGCAGCCGTCAGTGTGACAAGACGCCTGACTGCAGGGACCTCAGTGATGAGATGGGCTGCCACATAGGTGACTCTCACAGAGATCCAGTATAGTCTCACCCACACATTTGGAAACTGAAGCTAATATTTTCTTCCTTAAAATCCAATGAAAAGTCTTCAGGTATTCACATAACAGCCTCATATCATTAGATTACAGTAAAATTCATACTCCCCTGCTTTTCCCCACAGAACATGTATGTGAAGGCCCAACCCAGTTCAAGTGCCTCACTGGAGAGTGCATCAGCATGGAGAAAGTGTGTGACACACATAAAGACTGCAGGGATGGGTCAGATGAACCTGACAAAGAGTGTGGTAAGTAAAGTCTTATTTAGCCATTTACCAAGTATGTCCAGCTCCACTGGTGCTCCGGTAAAAATAAAAAACATAACCACATCATAGCCTGAAAAATATGTTTGGTCTGTCCAACTGGCCTGGGTAGGCTGTGGTTTGAGTGAGCGAGTTAACCATCAGTTTCAGCTGCTGCTGGGAAAATGGTTGTCGTGCTATTTGAAAACTGTGTATCTGCACCTCCACAGGCAACAACGAGTGTTTGAACAAAAATGGCGGCTGCTCCCATTACTGCAGGGATCTGAAGATTGGCTACAACTGCTCCTGCCCTGCTGGCTACAGCCTGAAGATGGACCAGAAAACCTGTGAAGGTGAGAGGAAGCAGTCTGCCATTTGAAATGTGATCTCATTCTATTTCAGGAGCTGGTTGTGGCTAGCTTGGGGGTGTGAAAATGTGTGAATTACAAACTTTGTAAGGAAAGGTCCAAATATCTCAACATCTAACTCAGAATTTTCCCCATGCCTTCTGCTCTTCTGCCTGCAGACATTGATGAATGTGCTGTGCCGGACACTTGCAGTCAGATCTGCATCAACCTGCCTGGCAGCTATAAGTGTGACTGTAAAGAGGGCTTTGTGATCAACCCTGCGACCAAGACATGCAAGGCTGAATCAGGTAAAGAAAGCTTGTCCTTACTGAAAGCCTGCTCCTAAGAGGCATGTTCATATAGCATTAGTTTCTGTCTGAAAACCACGACTAAACTCTTCTCTTCTGCATTCTGCAGGAACTGTACCCACCCTGTACTTTACCAACAGACATGAGGTGAGGATGATGACGGTGGACCGCAGCGAGTACGTCCGTCTGATCCCACAGCTGAAAAATGCTGTGGCTCTAGACATGGATATGCCAAACAAGATGGTCTTCTGGTCTGACTTGTATCTGAAGAAAATCTACAGGTAACAGAATTTTATTGATCTCTTAAAGAAGAGGACCACCTCTTGTTTAAATTAAGGTCTTACCATTAGATTTACACCACACCATCAATCCTACATCTGGAACTCTGTACTCCATAGAAATGGCCAGTCAAGATAAATAAAGATCACCCAATTGTGAATGAGAGGCTGTGATGTAGACTGCAGTCTAGACGAAGCGATATGTCTCTCTAAAGTGAATCTATCAACCCTCGTGTCCTTCCCAACAGCTCCAACATTGAGGTGGCTGCTAACTCCTCTCACCACACTGTAGTAATTGACAGTGGGATTGAAGCCCCAGAGGGCATCGCAGTGGACTGGATCCATGGCAACATCTACTGGACTGACAGCAGTTTGAAGACTATCTCTGTGGCAACGACAGATGGCAGCAAGAGGAAGACCCTGGTTACGGAAAATCTGGAGAAGCCAAGAGCCATCACAGTGGACCCAGTAAATAAGTAAGTGAATGTTTCAGACTGATTTGCAGATGTAGAACAGAAATAATAACTTAGATATCTCATGAAACTGTAAATTCTGGATCAACCACAGCTTTTTCTTGATTGTCTTTATAGTGTGTTTCCGGTTTTTATGAATTTTTCATTTTCCCCTCATTAGCTTTATGTACTGGACAGACTGGGGTGAGAAGGCTAAGATAGAGAGGAGCGGGTTGAATGGAGCAGATCGCTTTGCCTTGGTAACAGACGACATTATGTGGCCCAATGGCATTGCCCTAGGTAAGCTGAACTTCACGGATGCGCTAAATGGAAACCGAAATTTTCCATTCAAACTGCATGATGAGTGCACAGTCGTGTTAATCAGTCAAATATCTCACTGTCTGTGTGTTTCTCTCTGGACAGACATGGTCAACCAGCGTCTGTACTGGGTGGACTCAAAGATGCACACTCTGTCAAGCATCGATGTGAATGGAGGGACCCGCCACAGACTGATTTTCAGTGAAGACAAGCTCTCGCACCCCCTCTCTCTGACTGTCTTTGAGGTTAGTGATGAAGTTGATGTATCCCCAGATAAAGGTTAAGTCACTGAAGGTCAAAGATGCTTGGGCCATGTTATCACATTAAAGTAATTCAATAGGTAGTTGCTTGTATTTGTTATGTAGCCTGCTTAGAGTTAACTGGTTGATCAGAAACATTATGCAACATAATGGGAACCTGTTATGATTTTCTGGACTAACTGTCTCCTCCCTGGTTTCTTAAAACACTGCTGTGCAATTTTGAAATTTTACCAGTGAACTTTATTACTGTACTTCAAACAAGTCCGTCAGTAATCCAGTTTGTGCACAGTTATTTGGCTTGAAATGGTTTATAAAATATAAAACCAGAGCTGTAACTATGTAATTAATTATTAGTCAGTCTTTAAAATCAATCCTTTGTGTTTGAGGAAACTTTAGCAAATAATTAATCAACCCATATTTTCCTCTTTTAAATAGGAGAAAGTGTTTTGGACAGACATGGACAACAGTGCCATCTTTAGTGCTAACCGCCTGACGGGAATGGACATCACCGAGCTGGCGGGGGACCTGGTCCAACCAGAGGGCATCATACTGTACCATGACCTCAAGCAGCCCATTGGTACAGAAACATCACTAGATTAGACCTGGGAACTATCTTAACAAACAAGAAGTTATTAAGGCCATATAATGTTTTATAATGTTTATTGTTCCTGCCTTTCTCTCTTATAGCTAGGAACTGGTGCAAGGAGAGTAACAGCATGAATGGAGGTTGTGAGTTTCTTTGCCTCCCTGCCCCTGCGATCAACAAGCACTCTCCTAAATACACCTGTGCCTGTCCTGACCACATGTCCATGGGACAAGACATGAGGACATGTGTGACAGGTACATGGTTCCTGCTCATTGCACTATAAATGAAATGACATTTAACACAGAAACAGGACAAGTAACCTTTATGTTTTTCTTTCCCGACAGGCTCAGTTGATCCCACCGCAGCCACCAAGCCGGCTTCGCCTAGGCAGCCTGTCCCTACAACTACTACAACTACAACCACCAGCACTACCAAAACACTCTCTACTACCTCTTCTATCCTGTCCAAACAGAGCACAGAGCAGCCTTCCGCCACTGCTCAAGGTACAGGAAGGGGCTGTGCTGGATCAATGCAATGTCTGTGTCCTGAGATAGGACTTTAACACATCTGAGCCAATCAGAAATAGTGAAATGATTAATGAAAGACTAAATTAGTTCTGCTGTACATTATCCCTGATAAAAACAAGAAGTTAAAAGAATATGTCAGCATTTTTGAAAATATTATTATTTACTTTCTTACCAATAGTTATGTGGCAGTGGGATTTAATGTTAAGCTATAGCCAACAGCCAGTTAGTTTAGCTTAGCATAAAGACTAGAAACAAGGGGGAAACTCTCTGTCCAGTGGTAACATTATTCACCTACCAGTGCATCTGAAGTTCACAAATTAACACATTTTATCTCATCTGTTTAATCCACACACAAACCAAAGTTTGAAAACAAGCTGTGGTTTTACGTAGGGATATGCGAGGGACTCCTGTGGGACTGTTTCTTGGCTGGACACAGCGACTTCCCAGAGTCTCAGTTCCATTGCCGTTGCTTGATAGTGGTGTTGATTTTCTCATCTAACCTCAGTGACTTCTATAAAGACAAAAATGTGTTCTCTGCTTTTTCAGATAGAAGATTGGAAGCCGTGCCTGCAGAGGCCCCTTTGTCCCACCCTGTAGCTCTCTACGTCGTGGTGCCAATAAGTAAGTACATTTCAGCTCTTCATAACTTTCTGTCATGGTCCCGGCCTGCCCTGCTCAGTCACACAGTTTAAATACAATTTTATCTCTGCTCTTATTATCACTACTTCATTTGTTTACATCAAATAACCTCTGACTTTTCTCCTGCTCTCCAGTGATCATGTCCTTGCTGGTCTTCGGAGCAGTGTTGCTATGGAGACACTGGCGTATAAAGAACACCAATACCATCCACTTTGACAATCCAGTGTACCAGAAAACCACAGAGGATGAGGTGCACATCTGCAGGAACAGCTCTGAAGGCTACGTTTACCCTCAGGTATATCCACTAGATGTTGTCTCTGAACATGTAAGGATGTGGCTTCACAGATGTGCTTATTCAGTGTTACATTTTCTTGCAGAGGCAAATGCTGAGCATGGAGGACATGGATGTCGCATGACAAAGATGAAGAAGACACTAGCTTTATTTGAAGTTTTTTTGTGGATGCTCACAGTGACAAAGCGACAAAGGTCATTTTTTTCCACTGTTGCTGCTGCTTAACAGTCCCCTCCCTCCCCTCGTGGCCTCATTTTGTGGCTTATGTCTCTGATATCAGCACTGTGTCATCTAAGTCTGAAAAAACTTGGGGGAAAAAAAAGACCTTTCAAACTTTCGAATGACAAAATGGAGCACAACTACAGGAAGCCAAGAAATGGTTTCAAAATGAAGGAGTGAGGCATGGTTTCAGAAGATGATCATCTCGGTTCCAGAGCCTTGACTTTTGCAGACACAGAATGTCAATTACGTCAGTCTTTCTTCAGAGATTTTAACTTGAAAAGCCTGGCCTGTACTGTCTTAACACTCGTGCGTGCCTTCCACCTTCCAAACCCATTTCTGTTAATGTCCTAGTGCAGTAATGGCCTTGCTGTTGTTATATTGTGGCCTTCTCTTCTCCTGGACACAGCTTTGCAAATTTTGATCCCTCCCATATGAGAGGCATTTGTCTCCGTCACCCATTATAGTTTTTCTCACAGGTGAATCACATCAGTGCTTTTACGTTATTTGTTTTTTCCTTTTACGACAATCTCTGACGGGGGCATGCGTCAAAGGTTTACACTCTAAATGGAAAAGCTGCTGCTTGAAATGAATCAAAATGAAGAAAATTAAAGTAAAACATGATTGTAATGATTACTTATCATGTAACGATGTAAATATTTTGTAAAACAATCTTATCTTCACTCCGATATTGCCTTTTTACATTTGTAAAATTTACTCAAGATATATTGTATATATGCACGACAGTCTTATTTATTTCTGAAAATATACGAGAGAAGGTTTTTTTTGATTGTCATCTGGCTGTAAATACAGTAGTACTACATTTTTTTGTTCCAGCCAGGTCAGTTTACCTTTTACATTGTGCAGCTGTTATTTAATTTGTGTTCAATCAAATATTTGGTCACCTGCTCAAGTTTGTGTGTACGACATCCTGCGTGCTGCATGTTGCTGAAAATTACTGGAGAAACTTGCTCTATTCTCTACACCACTGTTTGTTTCTGTGTCAGTGACAATGACATAATTTATTTTGCTGCATCGGTTTCCACTGTGAGATTAAATGAACACACTGTGTGCACTATGCAAAGCACGGGCCTCTCCGAAGTGATTGAATGTATCGATCGATGCCTGCACATCGCTAATGTACATCGCTTTGTTTGTTCTTGGTTGTGTTGGTCTTTTTTCAATAAAAGTTTTAAAAAATACTTACCTGTCTTTTTCATTAATGAAGCATGGTTTTGTGATTGAGAAAAGATGTATTGTGATTGAGATAAACGGGCACATCTGAGAAAAGACAGTCTGTGGGGTATCTCCATACTACAGAATAATTCGAAGCAGGTTTTGAGAATGTAGAGTCTTCACAGATGCAGCTGAAGTCTCATCCACTCCAGATGATTAGATTGGAACATGAGGTATAAGCTGATCTTAGCATTCAGTGTTTTTACCCAAAGCTAATCATTATAAAACCGGATACAGTAGAGGTCCATGAATCCTGCTTATTTTTATGTTGCACACAAAGTGTTGCAGCTGATCACCAGCTTTTGCCCTCCCTTTGTGCCTTTGTCTAAAGCAGGCATTTGTTATCACATGATGGGGAATTTTACAGTACGTCCTTGTATCTAAGCCAGCTTTAACAAATGTGGTTTGAATGACATTTGAATGTGGGGCTGGTTTCACCTGTTGCCTTTGGTTTAAAAGGAAGGCACCGACTTTAGCAGTATCAACGATGTCTCGACTTTTAAACAAACTCCAAATCAAAAAAATTCTCTCCACCGTTAATTGATGTGCAAAGATGATTGTTTGTTTACCTATTATAATTACAAATGTGATAAAGGTGTGCCCTATACTTCCTATACTTTTTTAAAAGTTGTTTTTATTCTGCCCATGTCATTATAAAATAATTAAAAGGGACTTGGCCATGGGTGATTCCATGTGTGACCCAGAGACTAGTGGAACTGGATTTTTATGCTGGAGGTCATAGCATTGCAAACATTTCACCTTGTCAGCCTTTTCTCAGGTGGCTGATTGTTTTTTCTAAAGGGTCTACTCTGATCACAGAAACTGAACTGAACTCATGTTGTTCAAGTGTGCCCAATTTTTACTTTGCTTTTCAAACAGTGGGCATGGATAGATTTTCTGCCACAAAATTCATGCCTTATGTTTTTGTGTTGCAGCAATTAATCTGTAGATTAGAGCGTAGAGAATGAAAGCATCTTTCTTTAAAGTTACAAGGTCTGTAGCAGCTGGGGAAGTGTTTCACTGAGAACAAGTGTATTTAAATTAAAAATCTCTCAGTTTAGGGATATAACATGGGCTGAATTACTGATGAATCTTGGAACTACACAAAACACAGATACCATCATGCTCAGAAATCCAAGCCAAGGGTGTGTGTGTGTGTGTGTGGGAGAGATATAGATAGACAGACAACTGTGTTTGGTGTCAGGGACAGGCCCTGTCCAGGGACCAGCTGCACCACTGACGTCTTTCACTGGGAAACTGTGGTATGTGGTCTGTCAGGAACAGGGATCCACATTCCAGCGCAGAGGACTCCACACCCAAGAGTATCACATTTGTGACATAATTTAAAAGTCATCTCTAGTGTTGTGCCTCCACTTTCTTTTACGTTGAGTTTGACAAATTGATAAAACTGCCATTTCAATAGCTAATAGATCTAGTTGCATCCAGAGTCAAAATGCATCCAGAAGTGAAATTGATATCTTTCCATCACTATCAGTATCGTTGTTGACAGTACAAATCAGCTAAAGCATCACTGGGTGCCATCATGGAGGCACCCAGGAGGCAATAGACAGATACACCTGAGGCTATGGTGACAAGTGACACCAGTCCCCTGCTATGTTGCCTGTCAACCATAAAATCTCCTCACCTCACTATTAACATATGTTCGCTGCCTTTCTATTGGCCAGCTGGCAATCAAAGGGTGGAGCTACATCTCACACCACTGTCTTGTAAGCGAAGGGGAGTGTCCTCGCAAATTGACTGTGAGAGGTGATGTGGTGGGGGGGGAATAGATACTCCCCTTGTCAGGTTACCAAACAGGGAACCAATTGTTCTGATAAGGTAACAACAACAGCTTGTTTAGTCTCTGCCTGCAACCTGAGAGCCAAACATTATGAACCACAGCGTCTCGCCGCAAGAGGCAGGGCGATGCAGCTGATACTTGTAATTAAGTTTATTTTCATAAACTGCAAACTGAGGAGGATTTGATGTATCACTGAAAGATGGGCGTCCTGTATCAAGGCCAAAACTAGCACTCAAAGCTCTCATCAGGGCACAAATCACAGGAAGTCCTACTAATATCTCTTTTGCTATGATCCACCATGCTGAGCGTGACCTCTCTGACCCTGACAGTATGTTGCTAATTTCAACAGAGCCCTTGAGCGATGAGCTGGCGACCCATCACACACAGCTGCCTTTCCCATGGCATTATAAGAAACCCAGGTAACCTCGGCCAAACTCGTTAAATGTCACTAAATTAAGAACCACTGTTAGTGGTGTTTTTTTAATGTGGTCAACTCATTGGCTTTATTGGGTCAAATTGTTTCTCCTACTTCATTAAAATTAGTAAAATATATTCTTCTAATGAAGATCATAGTGTCCTAACACTTAATGATAAATCCATTACAGTCCTACAGTTTGGTTTGTTTGCTTGTTTGTTTGTTTGTTAGAGAAATTTCCCGACTGTGGGATCAATAAAGTACCTACTCTTGTTTGTTTGTGCCTGTTTTGGGTTTTGAAAGCTTTGTGACCTTTGTGTGTACCATCTTTTAACAAGGTCATCATGTGAGTCTTACTGTAGCTCATATCCTGTGTAAACACAGTATGTTTACGGTGCGGCCGTTTCATTTACAGCTCAGACATGGTCATGCCTCATTAGATAAACAAAGACCAGATAAGGAGAACCACACCTATATGAACAAAAGGAGTGAGACACTGGACAAAACTGCTCTTTTTCTGGCCCTCAAAGGCCACAATCACAAGTCTTTGTTATTCCTGTGTGTTTTTATTAGTCGCTGCTTTCCTACACATGGCTGACAGGAAACAGACACAAAGTAGGAATTGTGGTGGCAATTTTTAGGATAGTACTCTTTTAGTGGTTATTTACCTTGTAATCCATTATAATTTTTCCACAACAGAATATAAACAGAAGCTGGGATCTGGACCGTAACACCACACAGAGAGGCCCAAAGAGGGGCTGGTAAGACAAGGAGATCTTGTAGAGCAAGGTTTATAGCTCAACAAGTTCTCCAAGCATGTGGCCAGTGTTTTCTGCAACCCCGATGCTTGGGCCTACAGGCCACACTCTCAGATCAGATCAGAAGTGTATTCTTTGGAGAATAAAAACTGTCCACAAAAGCAATAAAATGAATTTTTGTACTCCTACTGTTTGTACCAGACAAGCTATTGTGTAGTTTTTAAGAAATGGTGCAATCATTAGGGAATATGAAAAAAAGTCCCATCGTCTCTAGTGGTGTAACAAAGACTAAATTCTGTCAGTTTCCCACTTTATAAAGCTGCAGTGTTTGATACATTCAAGCTAGGTGGTGGAAAAGTGCTGTTAGTTCAGCCTGAGTTGATACAAGTTTATATCCTATGTTCTCTGGAAAGACTTTGCACAGAGGTCCATTCTATGTCCGATAAGATACTTCAGAGAATAATGTTGTTTATGGTGAAACAGAATGTGTCCTTATTGTACCTTGAGGTCACCACATTACTACTTTTATCAAAAAAAGTCGTTTTTATTTAATTAACAAAGCCAAAGGAAGGGGTTGCTGTTCTAACATTTGCATTTATGGATATAAAATTTGATCATATGTATGATTACATACACTGTACCAGGCAGAATTTGTTCGGTTTCATCCGTGTTGTGTTAAAATAACAAACATATTTTCTTATTTATATTTATATTTACAGTATAAAGCATGATAAATTATTCTTCTGTAGAATTAGTATTATATTAGTCTACAGTATACTGTATGATATTATGAAATTATTAATAGTGATGCATGAACATGTAAGTAGCATTTTACTATTTTAGCTACTTTGACTTTTAGTCCTTTGGTTTCCAGCAAAGTTGTGCTACACACATCTGTAGTTGTTCTATGCTTCTCTGTAGCCTTTGTGAGTGTGAAAGAGAGAGAACTATTGGATATGTTCACTCAGTTTCCCACAGTTAATTAAATGAAGCTATTTGAGAAGTGTAAAGTGAAAATGTGCCTTTGTTTAACTGCTAAAATCTCACAAATCTCTCAAATTTGAGAGTTACTGGTTTTATTGTTAACAATTTATTACAGTATATATGTGTATGTATCATGTTTTTAAAGTAAAATCTTAATGGGAAAGGATTCAGATATGTAACAGAAATGATGTGGAGAAAAAGAAAATCATCAAGGAGACCTACAATATCTCAGGTAGCCTACAGTAACTACTGGAGAACTACTTGCTTTGATATGTGTCTGTGGCGCCCTCTAGCGGACAAACTCAGCAGCACACCCTCCTCCCTGCTCGTCTGTTCAGGTGAGCTGGTGAATGTTTCACCTGCGTGCGGTGACGTCACAACACCTTCAGGAAAGAGAAACGGAGCCTTCTATCAGCCTGGGCTGATGAATTTCTCTCGTTTCCATCGCGAAACCACATGAACAGCAGTGAAGAGTTGGGTTGAACTTTAAACCGAGCTTGTGTGCTGTGCAAACTCGTATGTGGCTGCTGGTGTGAGAACACACACGATGTCTGCCTCCGCGATATTTGTGTTGGATCTGAAGGGGAAGGTAAGATCGTTTCTAGAGCACAGTATAGACACTGATGTTTCTTTAGATTTACAAGTCTTTTTCTATAAACTGTAAAACCTCACACCTACTGCCCTTTGGTTTAAGTTTTTTTTTTTAATGTTGCTTTAACTGTTAAACATTAATAGACCACGTCGTTAAAGGTTAATATAGAGCTTGTGACAGTCTCATTCCATGGGCCTTTTCTTCCTTACTTCCGGATTCACGTGTGTCTGTGGAAAACCAGCTGGCTGCATCCTGAAATGACTCCAAACAGCCTCAGTGGCCATTTGAGTTGCAGCAGCTATGTGTAGTCTTTACACTCACCATGTTTTTGTTTGTTTGTAGACTGTATGTGCCTTAAACGTCCCTTTCTTTCAAAGAATGTAACCTGACACACAAGTTAGTGTTACCGAGGAATAGGAGTGGAAGTGCACGGTTTCAGATGTTATGTGTGATAATAAGGTGTGTGAATGCTGCAGCAGTTCTACATGATGTTAGCTCATCGACTAGGGCTTGAAATGTATCAAAGGTTAAAAGGATCTGCTTTTCTTTGTCTAGTACCTCTCCTGTTTTTTATTCTGTAGTTTAGCAAAGTAATAATACTTTTCACCAAGAACCAAATCATTAGTGAACTTCATGAAAAGGGTACATTTTGTGATTAATTATAGTAATAAAAATACTAGACATACAGTTAGATCAAATGTCACATCTCTTTGGTGGCAGCTTTCTTTTAAACCCCCAGTTCTGGTTCAACAGCAAGTCGCTCATCAGATTCATTTGATGTGGCAAAGGGTTTCAAATTTGCCACATTAGCTTGTGAGGAACTGCATGTTTTCTTTTGTACTTGATTCTGCTAAAGTAACTGCCATATTTAGTTTACCATGTGTTTGTCTAATAACCATGTGGTGTTATTCTCCCTGCTCAGGTGTTGATTTGTCGAAATTACAAAGGTGATGTGGACATGGCAGAGATCGACCACTTCATGCCTCTACTCATGCAACATGAAGAGGAAGGGCTTATCTGTCCTGTATTATCACATGGGAATGTTCACTTCATGTGGATCAAACACAGCAACCTGTACCGTATCCTTGTCCTGGATGTTGCTTTTCACTTACTACTTACTGAGAGGTTGTGATCATCATGCACATAAAAACTGTGACACGCAGTCCATAGGCCCAGAATTTCATTCATACAGCACCGATTGTTGAAATATATTGTTAACTGTGGATGATTAATTCTTATTATTTGGAAAGATGAATTCTGTAAGTTCATCTTAAAAGTGGTTTTAACAGTGATAAAATGTGAATGTGTAGAATCCTCCTTGACTTGATCTGGGTACAGTGGTGGCCACCACAAACAAGAACTCCAACGCCTCCCTCGTGTACTCATTTCTCTACAAAATAGTCGAAGTAAGTGAATTACAGTTGTTTTTCTAAACATTGGTTGTACATTCAGTTTCCAGGGAGCCTCCATAGATAAGTCTGATGTCTGTTGTTGTTGTCATACAGGTGTTCACAGAATACTTCAAAGAGCTGGAAGAGGAGAGTATTCAGGATAATTTTGTGGTTGTCTATGAGCTGCTGGATGAGCTGATGGACTTTGGATTCCCCCAGACTACCGACAGCAAGATCCTACAGGAGTGAGACTCACCAAGATGTGAACAGCCACACATACGGGCATAGATATACTAGCGACATCTTCATGTGGTGTTAAATCTCTTCTCTTCCCATTCCATCTTATCTTCTGCAGATACATTACTCAGGAAGGTGCCAAGCTGGAGGTGGCAAAGAGCAAGGTGCCGACCACCGTCACTAACGCTGTCTCCTGGAGGTCAGAGGGTATAAAATACAAGAAGAACGAAGTCTTTATTGATGTCATCGAGTCCATCAACGTACTGGTGAGATCGGCTGTAGGGCTGTATTGATCTCTGCCATGACAGCGTTTGTCACGATTAGATGTATTAATTACATGAGTAATTGTCTGCGAGAACTTGCCAATCACATGGAACTTGGAGCAGAAAATTTAATCGTACAATATTACTTTTACACAGTTTGCAAAATTTGTTATGTGTAGGTCATAATGGAGTAAGTAGTGTTGTTTTAATGCTTCTGTTTATGCTTCGTACATTAGTTATTATTTAACCATTCGTATGTGTCCTAGTAGTAAAATTAACCAATCTCCTATGTCCTGTACCCTCTGATGTTTATTTAGCTAAATCAGCCTCTTGTTTGGTTTAATTGACTAAATGACAAAAATCATATCAGAATTATTTGTGAAATGAGATGATTTATTCCAGTGTAGTCACTGCCCTGTTTTGTTTATTTCAGGTGAATGCCAATGGCAGTGTGATGAGCAGTGACATTGTGGGCAGCATCAAGCTGAAGACCATGTTGTCTGGGATGCCTGAACTGCGCCTGGGCCTCAATGATCGAGTGCTTTTTGCCCTCACAGGACGTACGTATGCAGTCTCTGCCTAATTATCTATTAGTCTGGTTATTTAACCGGATTTGTGGCTAATCTGTCTGCTTTATTTATGTTTTTAATAATTCTACTAATTGCATTGTTTTGTACTCAGGTGACAAAGGGAAGACAGTGGTGATGGAGGATGTGAAGTTCCACCAGTGTGTCCGTCTTTCGCGTTTTGACAGTGACCGAACAATCTCATTCATCCCTCCGGACGGGGATTCTGAGCTCATGTCCTACCGCATTAATACTCATGTTAGTCCAATTCAGTACCTTGTTTTCATACTAAATAGTTTATATTTATCATTTATGTTATATTTATGCCTCAAATGCTGCATATATTGGAGTAAACTCAAAGCACTGTGGATGTACTTAGAAGTTGCTGATGGAGCTAGTGTCATGTTCTACCTGTTAGAAATAAAAAGAGACAGACGGACATAAAGGACAAGACTTTAATTATCACCAAATAGGAAAGTCGCATGTCACTGCAGCACAAAAATCTATTTATTCCAAAAGATTCAGGAAGCATATAAAGTTTTATTTTAAATGAATAAAAGAAACCAAAAAAGTATTATATTACAGTGCTTTAGTCCATATACATAATTTGTCAATTGCGTAAATCACTAGTATTTGCAAAAATAATGAGTTTATTAATAGAAGTCTGCAAGTCTTATTGAGCCTTATATTGGTGTGCATGCAAATACATGAATTAAATTAACATCATATGCACATGTAACTAAAGGCTATTATTTTCCACATTGTTTTAACTGGTAAATCAATGAATAAGAAAACCTGTCCATCATCTATTACAGGTTAAGCCTCTGATATGGATCGAATCAGTCATAGAGAAATTCTCCCACAGTCGAGTGGAAATCATGGTTAAGGTATTGAATTTTTCAAAATAAAATCACATGCATTTTATAAACATTCTGAGTCACATAAGCTTTGGAAACCTCCGAGAAAACTGTTCAAGCATAGAAACCACAAGGAATAGAGTAAATGTTATTTCTGACATATCTTGCATCTACATGTTTATTTTTTTTGTTTGTTTTTTTTTACTTTCTACCCAGTGATACCATTCACTGCCCTTAGGCAACAGCACAGAGGAGGCTTTCACATGATATCCTGCTGTACTGTGTTGTATTTTCAGGCTAAAGGGCAATTTAAAAAGCAGTCTGTGGCAAATAATGTGGAGGTGAGGGTCCCTGTCCCCAGTGATGCTGACTCACCCAAATTCAAAACCAGCACAGGCAATGCCAAATATGTTCCTGAGAAGAACCTAGTGGTGTGGACCATCAAGTCTTTCCCTGTGAGCACTCCGCAACTCAATCTTTTATATGCCTTGGAGTTCAAAATTGACACTATGTTCAAAGAATTAAATTTGTTTTGTATTTATCTCTGTCTTTCTGCTTGTCTGTCCTTCTTTCTGTGTTTGTCTAATCCATCTGTGTGCATTCATTTATCCAGGGAGGTAAAGAGTTTCTAATGAGAGCTCATTTCTGTCTGCCAAGTGTGGAAAATGCTGAGGTTGAGGGCAAACCTCCCATTACTGTCAAATTTGAAATCCCATACTTCACAGTCTCAGGAATACAGGTATGTTTGCATGTATGTTTGTGTATATTTATGCTAGGGTTGACCATTTTTGTTAAACAACTGCAGAATGTAACCTGTGTTAGTACGAGTCAAGTACGTTTGCAAGCAAAACACATTTATTCTGAGTTTGAAACCTGTCACATCATAATATAAGGTATATTCTTTATGGACAATTATAAAGCTCCAGCCACCACCTGAGAGGATGCTTTGCACAGGGCATTAGTTTACAACCCATGCACAGTCAAGCCAGGTCCTGTAAGAGCTGAAATTGTGTGGCCATTCTGGGAAACCAGATTTAATTTGATGTACATTGATGTTTCTTGCCTCAGCATGTTGTGTCTCTGTCTCCCTCACTCTTCTTCTCCAGGTGCGATATATGAAAATCATAGAAAAAAGTGGTTACCAAGCTTTACCCTGGGTCCGCTACATTACACAGAGTGGAGGTACACTAGTAATAGACCTCACAACATAACAAAATACTGTTTTCAGAATATATTGTATTTGATTTTACTTTTATAATTTCTCCTTACATTTGTTGTTTTCTTAATAGATTACCAGTTAAGGACCAATGTGTAAAGCCTGGGGCTTACTGTGAATTCCCCACTACCTGGCCTTCCAGGGGAGCATCAATGATCACTTTTAAGTGGACTGAAAAAAAACGTCTTTTAACCCATTCTATGTAATGTCAATAATTTTGTTTCATGAAATCAACAAGAATCTGTGTTGTTTGATTTTTAATATTTTTATTGTGAGACTACTGCAAGTTATTAAAATGTGTGATAAAGTTGAGTAGTCTTTAGGAGTTTTTCCATTAGAGGAACCTACTGAAACGTGTTGCACAGAGTAACGGAAAATGGAGGGGAAGCTGATTTTGGTAGACCCACACCCTCTTCTTCTTTGCTGCAGCTTGTCTCCTCCTCATCAATACAACTAAAGCCAAATCTTTTACTGGCATGTAGACAGATACATGGTGCACCCAGATCTGCTGTGTGCACCCTCCTCTGCTGTACTGCGCCCAACCCCCGCTGCGAGCGAAGTGCATACTGCCAGAACCTGTGTTTGGTGATTGTTTAGGGAAGTATGCGTTATACCGCTCGTTAGGTTCCGATAGTGGGAACGTAGCATTTGTATTTTTCTTATGCCTCTTTTCATGAGCTTGCAGTTGCAACGCCATATGAGGGTGAATTTTTTCCTCACTTTCCATTATGCAATCACAGTCACTAAATTCCGCCTAAAATTAAAAACTTGCACCCGCCTTTCCCCCCCCCACACAGAAATACAACCAGAGATCAGAAATGTGAATGAACTGTCTCTGAAGACATCGACGTATACGAATCGCCCGCTTTCTTCGCAAGGTGCTCTGATTGGTCGAGTGTTTGCTGTTGCCGCAGTGATAGTGTAGTAACAGGGTTGTAGCCCCGCCTATTTTGCCATATATGGCAATGCAACGCCCTCTAAGCGAACTGTGATTGGTCAGCGTATGTTCTTCTTCAATGTTTGTAAATTGTAGTCTGGAGACACCGCTGTGTAGATCTCAGCGCGCAAATGTATTTTCTAATGTTGATAAATTTTCCTTGTTTGGCTTTTATTTGAAACATTACTGGTCGTTAGAAACAGTGGGATAGAAAATCTTAGCCACACGTTGGATCTTGACCAACTGAAAAAGGTATTTAAAAGCTCTATATAGTCTTCTCTTTTTGTTGTTAGCGGTTAGCTTTGGATGCTAACTGTTTATGATAACGTTATTCAGTTGACCATCCTGTCTCTAGGCAGAACCGATGTTTTCTCAGTGCTTTGTTGTTTCAGCCTGCTATGTGGGAAACCGATCCCATATAACATTACCCTAGCAAAGTCAGATAATATGGCGTCTAATGGCAACTAAAGCTTAGCTTATCCGGATGATGTAGTAGCTAGCGTTAGCTAGTAGTTAACCTTCCTGAATCCTGGCTTCGCTTTTTCACATTTCATAGTAATTATTGTCTAACTACATCGTGAGCCACTGGTTGAATTTCGGTGTAGTTAACTGCTGTGCATCTCCTACTGAACAGGCAGGAAGAGACTATAATGGTCCTCAGTCAGATGGATGCCGGTAAAGCTTTGACTTCGGCAGCAGCCAAAGGGAACACCAGCGAGGTACAGAGGATCCTGGAGGAATACAGAGTACATCCTGATACTCTCAATGAATTTGGCAGGACTGCGCTTCAAGTGAGGACCATTTACAATAAATGTTGATGCACTGTTCATATTTACTTTGGTTTTAACTGAGCAAATACGCATACTGTAGAAATACATGAGCCCGGAGTGTTTGTCGTTTCCTCTTGTTTGTGTAATACATGTGTTTTCTCTGAAGAGTTTCCAGTTATCAGTGTGTTACATGCATTAAGGCATAGCGAATTAATGCCCAAACCAAATTCCCAATGTAGCCTGGATACCAGGTGAAATGTGGAATATTTTACACAATTCATTTGAAATTCATAAAAAGAGGATGTGCACTAAATTAGGCAGCATTTAAACTAAGGTCAGTCTAATAAAACATCTCTGCTATAAATTAAAAATCCTGCCTGTAAAGGTTGCAAAGTTTTTTTTTTTTTTAGCCTTTTACAGAGGTGGTGATTCCACTTTGTGGGTGTGTTTTATTGAATTGTATTCTTAAATTGAAAGGTGGAAAATTTTCAAAGGTTTCATTTATATCAGTGAGGGCAGACTAAATGGAAAGGCTGCACTTAATTATTATTATCTTTTTTTAAATTAAATGTATGGTCTATAAAGTCTCATGAATGGAGAAAAATGTCTGTTGCAGTTTTCCAGGTGGCAGACATCTTCACACGTAGATTGTCCAAAACCCAAAACCATTTTCCAGCAAAACAAATATTCAAGGTGAGGAATATCATGCTCAACCAAAGATACAATTTAGAAGAAAAACATGGACCTGGGGTGCATTTAACCACATCCAGGGTCCACATGGAGGAAGACATAGCTGAAATTTTGGAACTTTTCCTCCACTTGTGCCAATATGAATGTGATTACAAATTAAAATGAAGAATGTTTGGCGATGTAGGTGTGTGAACCTGCTTTTGTCTTTGTTCTCTGGACAGCAAACAGAAAAGCAGAAGTCCTCACATGCGAGAAGCTGGAATCAGAAAATATTTGGCATTTCTGTCAATTTCCTCTCAGTGCACTAAACAAAAACACATCTCAGCATAAAGTTCAAGTTCAAAGTGTTTATTTTGTCATATGCACAGTTAGGCAACGTGTTTCCCTGTACAATGAAATTCTTACTTTGCCGTCCACATGAATGCCACAAAATACAAATGAAATATAAAGTAGATAAATAAGCAACACAAAATCTAAGGCACTTTAAGCAGCAACAAATGCAGCAATAATAATATAATGTGATACAGTTCAACAGCTTCTAAACTACGGCTTCCAAAAGTATCATACAGTTGAATCAGTGCCTCTCTAAAAAGTAGTTTCAACCAAAACTAAACATAGTCACCTTCATCAGGGTAGAATTTCTCACAGGACTTTTGCATTTGACTGCACAACCTACAGGTCATGATGATGGGGAACTCCAAGATTGCCAGTTTGCTGTTGGAAAAAGGAGCAGATCCTAACGTCCAGGACAGACACGGGATAGCGCCAGTCCACGACGCAGCCCGGACAGGATTTCTGGACACTCTGCAGGTTCTGGTGGAGTACGGTGCTTCAGTAAATGTACCGGACCAGAGTGGGGCCCTACCTATCCACATTGCCATCCGGGAAGGCCATCGGGATGTTGTGGAGTTCCTGGCACCACAGTCTGACCTGAAGCACGCCAACATCAGCGGACAGACAGCGATAGACGTAGCCCGAGCTTCATGTGTGCCTGATATGATTGACTTGCTTTTTGCTCACATTCATAGTTAGTCAGAAGTCTGGGTGCTCAGTGCCTCCTGGGTAACCCTAACCTCACCCCTGCGTGAAACCTGGTGACTTGAATTCATTGCTGTGTAAAGGATTATTTTTTGACTGTGGCTCAGCATTAATATGTGACACAGGACATATTGTCTTGGCAGCTTATTTTCAGTGGGTGGGTGGACAGACACCTCTTTTGCACAGTGCAATTTAGGCACCTTATGTATCTGTTTTCCCGATTAATTGGGAGTGCACATTTGTGGATAGTTTTCCCTCAGTGTTTGTAATTTTAATTGCATTATTGCCATTGTGTAAGATTTGTAACAGTTGATACAGTGTGTTTTTAAAAACTACAAAACCTGACATGATGCACCCTGATTGCTTTGCATAGTTGTGTTTCTCTTACTTAGATGTTCTTAGACTTTGAATTGACACTTATTTATTGTTATTATAGGACTGAATATTCCTGTGACTTTGTAAAGAGTGACAGCTATTGTGATTTGTTGAAATGTTATTTATACTTATAAATACCTTTTAAAACAAAAGTGAGATAATTCGCTTTACTTTATTTTATGTTTTCATTTTCAAAAAGTGTTGAACTTGAAGTCATGCATTCAGTGTGGATTTCGCTCAGCATACTGCATTTTAGCTACAGTGTCTTTGGCAAGACAGTTAGGTAAACTGCCTTCAGGGGTGTAGATACCATGACTTGTTTCCACAATAATTGTATTCCTGCAGATTGTAAAATGCTTTGAAGCATTTCATCAGTCGTACCTCAGGAAGACCTCACAAGATCAGTCTTGAAGGTTGTGAAATGACACTTCTGCTACATCAGTTTTCTTTAATTATACATTTTGTGTGAAGTACTGGAATGTTTTACCAGTTCTGGCATATACAAATTAAATGTACATCATCAGTGGTGCTCACATCACTGCAATGACATGCAACAAATGAGAAGGGCTACTGTGTGTTTGGGACTTTATTTTGAAGGGCTATAAGACAAAACTGGGAAATGATATTTGCAGAACATTTTGTGTCTATAAATGTTTTAGTTTAAAGAACTAAGCTGGTGAAAACATTGAAGTGGTCATTAAATTTGCTCATGGTTTGTGCAAGTTTGGCTGAATCTAATGTCTTCATTAAAACACATTTTCCTTTCGATTCTAATCTGTGTTCTGCTTTTAGACCTGTTTTGTTTGCTTTGTTAACTGTTACATACAGCGGCACTTCCTCAAGGTTATTCATCAAGGACATTTATAATAACTGTGCACTGGAATGCGGTGCAAAATGAAAACTGTCAAGGCTCACACAGACAGCTGGATCGAAACTCCAAATGAATGAGGGCCCTGTTTTGTTGAGGCTCGTAGGTAACAGTAGCATAGTTTGCTGCTGATTGTGCACGGAGATCTTGTGATGCAGGGGGTATTTTGTTTGCTTGTGTGCCATGGGTCAACTTCTCCAGCCCGGGAAAAGAGATGCAGTTCAGGTGCTGTGTGTCAGGTTGCTGTGCAGAGGCCCGTGATTTCACAGAAAAACCGTGACGTTATGATACCATATTGTTACATATGGTCTTTGGACATTTGTCACAGTGTCAGCAGTATTATTATGTGTTTCAACTTCTTCAATATAATTTGCTGTTATACATTAGTTCATAGTTACAAAACAGTAAAATTACCTGAGCTTTACAGGACAAATTTCTCTGTCTTATGAGTACTTTGTCTTTTGATATGTTAAAAGTATATTTTGTTGATAATACTTGTGTACTTTTCCTCAAGAAAGATTTTGAATGCAGAAGGGTTACTACAGTATGATATTACTACTCCTGTAAATGCTGCACTTCTTCTGCACTGTGTAACAGCCTGCAGTCTACATGTTGCGTGCCGTTTTCACCTGCCTGTTTAAGATTTACATAGTCCCACATATAGACACCCACTGAGATCTGCATAGTCTAACCACAGTATTTGCCTTTGTGGCACCGAAAAACTCTACTGGAGCTGCTCGAGGTTAAATGTCAGCCACAACGGTGCTTCAGCAGTAGTTTCCCCACCCATATTTTCCCAGTCAGTCTTGGATTGACAAATCTTCTGGTTATAAGTTTGCTTCTCTATCTTTTGTGCTACCACACCCTCATCTTGTGTAATAAAGACACAGCTATGAATAATATAGCATTCAGCTCCCTGACTTAACTGAGCACAATCGTGGGTGTGATTCTAGATGTGCAAACACTCCCTGTACAATCACTGTTGTAGTTTGTTTATTCTGCAAGTTAAGAGTGATATGGTAATAGTGACAAGTTTGCAAGGAGCGAGAAATAGTGGGAGTAGACAAACGGTAAAAGAGGTCAGCTTACTCCTTCAAAATAATATACATTCACATGTGTGGGAATGCATGATGACGACAACAATGACTCAAGGGTCTGATGAGGGTATCACAGCTTTAGAATAAGAAACCTCATGCTCAACCAGAGGCAGAATTGTAGAGGAAAAAGGTGGCGCTGGGGTGGTTTTGTATAAAATGTTATTCTAGTATTTAGAATTCTAATGTTCATTCAGATTTAACCTATTAAAGTCTGTGTCATCCATTGTTTTTAGTCTGAAATTCCCTTTTTTCTTTTTTTTTTTTTTTTAGCTGAAGTCAAATCTTATAGTTGGTATTGACAAGAAGAATGATTACATTAACCATTAAAATTTCAGTGGGCATTTGAGTGTTGTTTTAAACTACATTTGAAAAATACAATCTTGTCCTTTAAGATGTATAGAGTTGTCTTTCATGGTAGTTTAAAATAAAAGTCTTAATCACTCACTGGTAAAATAATAAGAGTAATATGAGTATGAAGTTTAATACCAATTTACTGTAAGTCATACTGTACAGAAAGCATGGCAGAGTCACAAGTGGTGACTATTAACACATACTGTAACATGCTCTGACAGGACACTGTATGTACTTGGATTCACAGTTTTATTCAGATCATCAAGCAGTAGAGCATCAAAGCCCGCAGGCACTGAAAACCAACACTCTGGAGTTTGGAAAAACAGAAACTCACATTACAGGAAGAAGCTTTCCAAAGTGTTTCCCATCCAAATGGACATTCTGCATTAGGATAACCAGTCCTAGTCAGACACTTTGGGTAGCATTACAGAATCTGACTCAAGGTATCACCACTAGAGCAACCCTCCTGGAGATGTTGGCAGGTTACTTATTTCCAGCCACACTTATGCAGTCAGATCTGTTTTGGTTAATGCTGGTGGCACACTCATCTTTCCCATCACAGAGGAACAGGAAAATGATAAAGCAGTACAAAATACAATTATCTGCTTTACCCTATAAGTATGTTTGACTGATACTTCATTTTACTTAGGAAAATTTCACATTTCAATCACTGTGTTCTCTTTTTCGGCAGCATTCAACACTAAATTCCATGTGAATTATAAGAGAAAGCAGTTTTCTTGGAGGCGTGTAGCAGTGTGGGTACGCTCAAGTATTACTGAGCATAACATCTTGTAACCATGCAAGTCAAGACATGACTGCTACTATTCAGGCTGAACTGTGGAAGCCCTGGCTAAAACAAATTTGTTATGTTACAGTTAATTATTGTATTTTGCTTTGCACACACCAAATATCATGTTGACCAGACCTCTATTAGATTCATATTGCACTGTATGAATTCAGTCTTTTCTCCATTTAGCCAAATATGCAAAGAGAGGGATAAACACCTGTTATTCTGTTACTAAGAGGCTTTTTCTCCTTCCCCTTGTTTGGCGCCTGAAGCGGAGTAACATGAGCCACAGGCTGTCACACTCTTTTTCATGCCGATTGATACAGAGCACTTACAAATCCTTTGACTTTTGCTCACTAGAATCCACAAAATGTTCAATAATCAAAACTCAGGATGAAAATTCTGCCTGTGGCAGTTTTAAGGTCCTAGCTTTTTCACAGTTTTAATATTGTCAAGTGTTGAGCACTTGTCTCCTAATCAAGAGTGTTCTGACATTTATAATAATTCTTGTTAACCTTTACATTAATGTGTGATCTGCACCAGTCAAATCAGCTACATAAAAAACATAATTGATAATAAATGCAACAAGGTATTTACAGGACATTGATAAACTTGGTAAAATATTTATTTAGACAATTGATTTTTAGAAAAGCCTAAAAAACATTTTCAGAACCATGTTCAAGTTGTTTTTTTCACGCATTGCCACAATGTAGACAATCTTTATTAACTGGTTCATCTTTTCTGTTCAGTTACAGATATGAGTGTGGTTTCCCCTTTGTTCTGTTTGTTCCCTGTAACGTTCCAGTCTAGCATCAACCACCATGCTACACCGAGAAAAGATGAGTCCATTAACTGTACAAACTCAGCCATTAACCAGCCTGCTCTGTACATCTGAGCAGGTCCAGCAGGCTCTTCTCTACTATCAACCCACTGTTAATCAGTGGTAGAGATTCCCCTAGTTCCAGAGGCAGCGAGTCCAGGCGGTTTCCTTTAATGTCCAGATGAGCCAGCTGGGCCAGGCTGGCCACTCTGGAGCTTAAATATGACAGGCAGTTGTTTCCAAGAGCCAGCGTCTTTAGCCTTTTACAGGAGAACAGCTCCTCTGGCAGCGTCTCTAAAGAGTTGAAGGCTGCAGAGAAGAACTGCAAGCCCTGCAGGATGCCCACCTCAGGAGGGAGCGAGGTGAGCTGGTTGTGGGAGACATCAAGGTGCCTGAGCTTGGTGCAATAACACAGTCGAGAAGGAAGCTTGCGTAGCTTGTTCCAGCTAAGGTTCAGTATCTCCAGAGAATGCAGCTTACTGATATGATCCGGAATGTAAGTGATCTTGTTATGCCACAGTTGGAGTTTAACTAAACGGCGGCAGTGCTGTAAGCTTAGAATCTCCTCCACAGTAGTAAGTTTGTTTTCTTTAAGATCTAGCTCCTGCAGATTGTTCAGGCTGAAGACAGCGCTTGGGATGCGCTCCAACTCGCAGCCCACTAATTCCAGTGTGACTAGGTTGGTTAACTTCTTGAGGCTGCTAAAAGCTTGGAGCTTCACGCCTTCGTTAACAATGCACAAGCGCTGCAGTTGCAATGCGACATCCCCTACATTTGCTGGGATCTTTGTAAGTTTGGAGCGGAGAGTGAGGGTTCTCAGAGCTTTAAGCTCTCGAAGGGAGTCCAGAGTGGCACTTCTGGACACCTCACTGGTTAAAGGACCAGTGAGATGCAACTCCTCCAGGCCACGTAGGGTGTGCATCCACAGAGGCACCTCCTCCAAACTTTCAAAAGACAAGCGCAGGACTTTTAAGTGTTCCTTGAGGTGGTTGAGGGCAGGCAGCTGGAGCTTTGCAGGACAGTAGATCAGTGCTAATTCCTGAAGTGAGTCTAGCTTTGCCACACTAGGTGGAATGGTTACATTTTTAACTTGTTCCAGTTTGAGTGATTCCACTTCAGGAATCTCAAAGACTGTGTCAGGAAGTCCTGGCAATGTTATCAAGTGGAGTTCCAGCCGGTTACTGGCGTTCTTGGAAAGACAGCTGCGTAGCTTTTTGCCAGTCCACTCATAGTTGAGGTTGAGCTGACGGAGGCGGCTCTCACTGACTTCAGAAAGAAAGACAGCAAATCTTTTAGAGTAAAGTGCATCATATTGGTCCACAAGGTGCAGAAGGAATGCAAAATCATTCTTCACATCTGGTATGTCATTGATACCCGTCTCCAGTCTGATTTGCTCAAAGGAGTACTCCTTCAGAGGCCGATGAAACAGCCAGTAGAGGCTGTAGATACACAGAAGTCCATACACTCCCACAAAGCAGATATAGCAGTAAGAAAGCTTGGAGAAAAGATGGGCTTTGTTGTCATTACAGCAGTAGATGTCAAAGCCAGTCAGCTCAGGGGGAACGTAACAGCGCACTACTATCTCGATGTTCGGTACCAACACTGCAGTGTAGATAATAATTAAAAGAAATTTGACGACTTTCAGTGACGTTTGTAGCACATACATGACATACAAGATATCTGCTTCCTCTACATGAGTTCTGAACTTCTTCACCTTTTCAAACAGAGCTTTGGCCTGCTCGCCTTCCGTCTTACCCAAGACGGAGAGGGTCGACTGAGACTCTGGATCAGGCTTGACAGGGGAAGAGCAAAGAAGCCCTATAGTCTCCTCATCTTCTTGTTGATCTGTGGGATCTTTTGACATGGTGGTCCTCCTCCAGCTTACCAGCTTCTCCTCTCGTCTTTCCTCAGACACTTCACTTAGGGCTCTTGTGGTCCAGGGTGAATCAAAGCACTTCCCAAGGATGGTGACAAAGAGATCAATTTTAGAAGATGTCCCAGGGAACTTGAACCAGAAGCTGCTTGCTATTACAAAGATCATCGTGTGGATCACAACGAGGTATGGGAAGTACTTAGCATACCAGTGAACAAACCTTTCATAGCAGTAATGGTTGACAAAAACATACTGGTTGATGTCCAGGTTGTTCTTTCGGCCAAACACCTCCTGGATGATGGGATTCATAGGTGCGACCGGTGTGTGCTGCGACGTCTTGTTCTCCCTGTATGTCTGGATGTAGCTGCAGTCAATAACCTCAGGCGTTGGGCTGGTGACGTGGCTCGGCAGGCAAGCAATCTTATCTTGAGAGAGCTGTGGAAAATACATTAAGGAATGAATTAACAAAAGGAACATAAGAGAAAGAGGAAAAGACAAGAGTCCTTAGTTGAACAATTCAGTAAAACATAAATATGAATGGAAAACGCTAAGATCTCCATGTCTTTAAAAGAGTTAGAAAAGCTATTCCAAAACTTAAAAAACCTTCCAACATTTTTACTGTTTATGTGAACTGTTACCATATATACTAACAAGTGACAAACTGGAGATACTGAAGAAACTTGGCGAGAATCTGTGCTGATAAGAACTTGAAGCTGTTTTGAAGGCTCATAATTGCCCACACCAACTTAAGATTAAGGAATAAAAGAAAGCATACTAAATGAAACTCTTTACAGTGGTGGCACTGGCAGCCACGACTTTGAAAATAAAAATAAATAGATAAGAATGAATAAAATTTGTTTTAATAAAGTAACACCCACACCCTCCTCACAGTCTACAATTGGACACTGTGTTAAGAACACAAGCAAACAAGTAGCAGAAGACATTACAACTTCATTCATTTGCTTTTCTTCTGTGCTATTTTAACTTGACATAGAAATGATAATCAGGTGGTGAGAGACATTAAGCAGCGAGTTAGTGATCTGAATTTGTAGTAACTGGGTCAGGAGAGACATGCTAGTTCAGTTATGCTGTGTTTTTGCCTGATGTGGAGGTCAAATAATGTAGGAACTGCTGTGGTATTCACCAACACACAGAGAGCAGGGTGTGCTGGAACCATTCATATTTTGAGATGCCACAATAGAACCCAATTATTTAGATGTCTGATCTGGCAGGCGATGTTATATTAGATCAGTAATTATTATGCTGCTAAACAGGCTAACATTTGAGGATTTAAGAGCTTGTGATCACAAAGTGACTGGTTTTGTCGGCGCCTCACCTGCAAGGTGCACCCGAAGACTCCAATCATTATCATAGCAACGCACAGGTACTCTGAGAAAACATCCCACCATGGCTTCAGCAATCGAAACTTGGAGTTCTGCTCAGCAAGATTTCTGAATTCAGTCACTGGGATCATCCTGGCTGCTGCTGCACACGGGTGAAAGACAAGAGTGGTTGTGAGCACTGAGGCTAAAATAGGTTTTCAACACAGAGCAGTCTCTAGAGAACATCTTGTTAAAGCTATTAAAGTTATATAATGTAAAAACACATGACAGTAACAGAAAATATTTGCAGGAGATAATATTTAATTTATTCATGCACAGGGTGATGTCAGGCTTTATGTATTTATGGCCTTGAATGAATGGAGAGCCAGTCACTGCAGTGAATTAAAGGTGGATTAACTCGTTTGTCAACAACTACTAGATATAATCCCTCTTTGTGTTACATTATAAAGTAAATGCACTTATTACATGTAAATTACCCTTTTTTATTTCTAATGCACATGGTTAAAAACTTAACAGTATGGGCAAACTTTATGTGGGACTATGTCTTTGTGATTTAAAGAGACAGTATCACTTCATGAAAGGTAGCCTACTAGACTTAATAACTGGGAAATCGCATATACAAATAGTGTCATATGTTCACACTTGTTCATAAACTTTCATGTCTTCAAAATAGTTTCCGTTTGTCTCTAAAGTATCAGCCTACACAGTATAGTAAAAAAAAAAGAAACGAAACATCTGTTGTATTTAGTTGTGTCGTGGCCAGTTGGACTTACCTGCCGCCGGAGAGCATCCACTGGCGCCACCCGTGTAAGTCGGTGTTTTTTTGTACGGTTAAATACGAGTGCACCACCGGTGTCAAGCGACCAAGGAACAGTACAACACATCCGGAGAAGCTTTTCAAAACAAGATCTTCAAAATAACCATGGGCGCTAACTTTACAAACGATAAGAAAATAAACACTTTATGTGGTAGGTTGTATTGTAAATTAATACATTTTAAATAGCACATGACCCTATAGGAATATCCTTATTCCTTTTCTTCTTTGTTGGTTCCCTTGGCTACAGAATGTACTGTGTCCTAATTTCATTTACATTTTACTAGGCTATTTAATATTTTTGTCCCTCATGTTTGTTAGGACTTTATTGATCCCCCAATGGGGAAATTCTTGTGATCCAGCAGCAATAGAGAGCAGCAACAAAACACCATAAGAACAAACAGCACACATATATCTTGAGAAACAAATTCCAAAGTACCTAAAACCAGACAGAATATAGTATTTGAGAGACAATCAAGAACAAGAATGATCCTCCCGCAATTAATCCCCGAGAACAAATCAAAAATACCTAAGAACAAGAAAACACATAGTATTCGAGAGAGATCAAGAAGTCAAGGACAATAGGCTACATCTTATAAAACAAAAAAAGAACCATGTCTGTTTTCTTTTTTGTTTGACATTTTTGTCCCTTTCAGGTCTAGGCTCAAACCCAAAGGTGATGGGGGTCCGGTTTGAGAAGCCCCCCTGAGTGCAGCGTGCAGATCGGGGCCCAGCTCAATGTGGGCGTGGTCCGATGGTTGACCCCGCACACAACGGTATCCTCCTTTGTCTGGTGTTTCCCGGTCCCATGATGTTCATGCTGCTTCATGTCTTGAACGGACGAAAATATGAACTGTGAGAGTAAGTGAGACTGTCATTATGCATAATGTATTTTGAAACACGATTTATCGTGTGTTTAAAGGTTTAATGGTTTCACACTTATGTGTGATTTATATTCAAACATTGATCACTAAAGACATCAGCAGAGGAAAATAAAAGAAGTGACAGGCTTCTAACACTGATCAGATGTTAATGTTAACGTTACCTGGGCACGTGGTTTGCATTGTAAGGAACCAACACAACTTTGTGTCCCTCCAGTAGAGTGTTCTCGTTTATCTTCATGGTGCCAACCAGACACAAACACCAATAGGACCGATTATAACAATAAACTATATTCAACCCTTGTACGACCCATCAATATATTATAACAGCTGGATACCGAATCACAAGATGGAGACCATTCTTCCCATAGATCTATTGGGAAAAGGTAGGAGATTTCTCAGTGTCTGTATTGTGATAATGTTTTTTAATAACACAAATACATTAATTTATTCTATTTATTTTCCCCACTGAATGTTGCTCGCCTGGCGTACACGGCAAATTTGTTTTTCTTCCGGGATTGCTTCCGCGTTCCACTGCACATGCGCACTAGGAGGCGGATGGGGATAGCGGCCGAACTTCCTCAGGCTCCAGCGTAGAAATATCTGCTGTGCACACTGACAAAGTAAAAATCACATGCGATTACAAACACATCTAGATACGCTTTTATTAGCCAATGGAAATTGCCTCAAGGCATTTTACAAATGAACACATTTATTAATGTTTTTATTCTATTATCTCATGCTTGTGTAGTGTAATGACCCCCGGGGTGGAGGAGAGAGACTAGCTACACTAGTACAGCTAAACTAGTTAGCAGGGCGCTAGCACCTATGCTGATCTTGGTTAGCGATTATTCCAGGCCCCATACACCGCACGACTCTGGATATCGCCTGGGCGTGTACCTTTTACAGTGACCACCAATGCAACACTGCTTTCTCTGTCATTTATTTAGAACTCCCATGATGCACCTCTGCACCCCCCAATGGCTGACGTGGATCGTCACAGTATGTACATGCACATGTGTCTGTGGATCTGTTCATGTTCGGTTCCTTAAATGGCTCTGTCCACTTAGTGCCACAGCTTCACCGGCTCCTATGTAGTGTTGACCGTGTCCATCCAGTGCTGCAGCTAACGGCCTCTGGTGCACATGAAGGGCCCTAACACCAGCACTCCCAGTTGGACTGGAGGCTCTGGGAGAAAGATATAAGAATATCACTGTGTCGGTGTTTCGGATCTTGTCAGCGATATTAGAAGGGCCTTGGTCTGCCTTCAAAATATGTCAGATGTCAGTAAAAAAATATTTATTCTTTTAGAACTTTAAGCCATTTAATTTCTACCTCTCACTTTGGGATTAAGCCTTCCACCGTTTTAGGAATGCTCTCAAGCTCCCACCTTATTTTGATAATGAAGTTAATTTCCCAACTTCAGTTTTTCTTCAGGAAAACCATTTGTCTAGCCCTATAAGCCCGGCGCCTGTTTTGGGGATTTAAATCGACGGCGCCTCCCCGAAATAAAATGTGTATATCTCCGCAACCACACGGTGTATTTGGTTACTCTTGGTGTCAAACGAAATGGAACACTTGTGAGATTTGTCAGGAGGTGTAAATACCTTTCGATGTTTTGTTGTTGAAGAGTAAATCAAGATGGAGCTGACGCTCTCCTCATTTGCAGGACAATAGCTTGGTCCCAGATTTCTGCATACAGACAAACGACCCCTCATTGGATTCCTCTCGACCTATAGAATGTGGCTATTGAGTTTGTGACCTTATTGACAGCATCGTGGACCAATGGCAGTCGATAAGACCGCACCATGGGGGGGGGGGGGGGGGGTTGGGGTGCGCCCCCCTGTTTCTATCCAGCTAGAACCCCCCTAACTTAGAAATAATGGTATTTTCCAAACCGACGCCATTTTGTGAGTCAGGAAATGCAGTGTTTGCGTCGGAAAAACCTATTTTTCAGCATAAAAACATCAAAGATAAGATAAGAAATTTCGCTGTACTTTTCGCGCATCGATATCTGTTGTTGAAGTTTGTTGGCTTGTATCTCTGTAACGCGTTTACGTAGCGTTTTTACCGATGCATTTGTGGAATCTGTGAAATGTGGGCTTTGTTTTGAGCCGTGGCTAGTCGGTAAAATATGACAAATTGTGAATCGTATGCCTGGCAGAGCGCCCCCTGGTGGACGTGAGATGTTGCTCTTTTGTGCTTTATTGCTTTTGCTGTATTTATTGTGTGGAAAATATGACGTTGTACCCGAGGTTTCGCTGAACATTTTTTGTATACATTGTTGGGGGTCGGCTATCACAACTCGCGTAGCATTCCTGTATTTTCCGTTAAGCCCGAGCGGACCCTAATTAGGGTCCGCAGGGTTGATAGAGCTAGTTAGCTTTACATGTCTAAAAACTGCGTTCAGCATCTGTATCCAATTATGAAATGGTCCCTTACAATAAGAACATGATAAATCTCTGTTATGCAGATATTAGACACTGCCAATGAATTACTTTCCACCACACAAGTAATTCAGTTCATACAGAGCAGCTGTTTATAACCTAAATATCAAGGTTTTAAATGAGTGGAGACAAAACAGGACTTTGCCTAGAGTGAAACCTAAAATGTTCAAGTTAAATATGATGGCACAGGGAACAGTTTTGTTCAGAATAAAATAACTTCAGCTCCCTCTAGTGGACACCGCAGCTTCAACCAATCTGTAGATTTAAATTGCTCGACACAGTCTACATCAAGTTGATGCTTCACATTAAAAACAAAAATTCCAGTAGTTGGGGGGTGAAGGAAATTAACAAAAATGTGCCCACAGACAAGAACTAACAAATCATTACATGACCAGAGCAGTAGAATAAACATTTTACTTTACAATGTATTATTGTACAGGGGGTTTTTAATGGAAAAAATGTACAAAGCAGACCTTAAATATTCTAATTTCCATTCCAATGTCCATACTGACAGACAGGAAAAAAAGTCCCATTCAAAGTGAAGATAATTTTTGCAAACATCCAAAATTAGCATTAACAGGCATTCCTACTTAGATACAATGCATGCTAGTTAATCAAAAACACAACACCCGAGTCAAAGTCAATACAAAGCTGAAGTCAGTTTGAGGAACAAGAAAAAAAATCAAAAGAATTTGAACAAATAAATAAAAAAAAGGGACCTCTGAATTTCTGTACAAGACTTATTAGAATATCAATGTACAAAATGTCACTTAAAAACCTTTTGTAGCTTAAACTGCTGTTAGAAATACACTTCTTTAAGCAAGTTTTTGTCATTAGCATACAATAGTTGAACACTAACGCACAAACACAGTCACTTGTTTCGGAGGAGGATGTGAAAATCTGAGTCATCTGTAGGGAGAGGTCCTCAACCATGTCAGTGATTAGTGTTTTTATAAGAAACACACACATTTCGTATCAAACTGTTTCATGTGCAAATCAACAGTTCTGCACATGAAATGTTCTTGCATGAGGCCCATTGTCGTGTACAAGCTTCATCTTGTGGCTGGGTTACCTTCTAGTTTCTAAACACCACACAGTGACTGCCTGTGCCTCTCCAACACAAGCACCTCAACACAATATACTGATATCAGTAATGCCCATAGGCATTGTGATGGCACTATAAAACTCTACTGCCTATACTGACTGACAAATGCTACTTTTTTTTTTTTTTAACAAAGTGGGATCATTTTTCTGCCCTCAGATGAAACTTTTCCAGCTTCTCCCCTGATGTGTCTTTGAGCCCATACATTGCCCGTCATATTATGCAGCCCTTTACTCCCATGGCTCAAATCTGGGAGATGGTCTAATTTAAGATGCCAGATGTGAACACACAGATGGGCTGAGGTCTGTCAATTTTGGTGGAAAACAATTAACCACAAACAAATTAATGATTGTAGACCCTGAAATCTGGACTAAAGAATCTGAGGTCATACTTGACTGTGGTCAAATGCAGATAATGAACTTACATGTACTTTGAATCACCACAATTTAAGTGTTTTTTTTTTTTTTTAATTGACACCCAATGTGATTACAGCTGCCTGTGTGGCTGCACATGGTGTTTCAGCTCACCTCTGTCTCTAATCAGTTGTGAGGGTCTGTATTTTGATTTGGGAAGACAGAACTGAGTTTTGGGGTACTTGTCAGTGCATATCTGTCTGATGGGGCCTCATGTACCATTGCCAAAGGGCCCGCTGGGGTCATATTCTGATTGGGAGGTGGTTGACTGATGGGCCAATGACCCTGCACCTCGCCCCTTCTCACAGTTTTGACACTGTGGCAGATCTTTCTGACAGGGCTCCATAGTAACGGCCACGCCGACACCGCTCCGTCCTGATGTCATGAGTGTCACCTCAGACCAGGTGTCCTTCTCTGGGTCGTAACATTCCACACTGTCCAGGAAAGTGTTGCCATCATAACCTCCTGTAAACATAACATTGGCATTTTGTTCTGTGATTACAAATCTGTTAAAAAAAAGGTTCTACATAGATTTAGCATTGCAATCCTAAAAAAAAAAAAACTTCTGCCCCAACTGTACTTAAGTAACATCTATCTGGAGCCACAAAAGCCTTCATGAAACTTTTTCACATTCACAGTTGTACTCTGCAAGACTTCTAAACACACTTTGATGTGTAAAATTGGCTGAGTTTCCCTTTAAGGCTGATGCACAGACCTTCCTACAGTGTACACAGGTGTAAACATTAGCAGTGGCCGAGCTGTGTGTGCCAGTTCCGGGGCATGGTATTGTTCTTGCTGACTCTGCTTGGCTTGTAAATGAACACAAACTGTGATTGATGTTTTTAGTTCAATAAACCATGACAGACAATTCCTTAGTGGTTCATTTTTAAAATGTACAAGTTAGTGTCTATATCTATATTTATAGAGTTCAATGCAAATGAAAAACAGACTGGAGACAGAATGTTTATTCTTATTGTTATGACGTGTTTAACCATAGTCGTAGTCATAATGTTTTCTTATGCTTGATGTCATGTCAGAATATTTTTGCTACACACCACATAATCAACAGACATTCACACATTGATTTTCTTCATGCTTTGACTCCTGCTATGGCCAGCTGCAAAGCTGGCACCGGGAGACGTCACGGTTTGGCGTCCCGGCGTAGTATGGGGCTAGCCCAAAGTGAAATAATGTATAGCCCTGTTATGGTTCAGGGATTTTCATCTTTCAGCTGCCTGCGTGCATGTTGGAGGTGCAAAGACTCCTGAGCGTGTAATGTTAATTTTTACCTGTGTTCATTGAATAAATCAGCACTGTTTTGAAGTTACTTGGACTGCTTCGTCTCTCAGAGTTAATGTGGTGAAAAGAACGGGGGTCAACACTACAATCAAACAAGCCAAGTGCATCTTTATCTCCTCAAAATTAAACTGAAAAACACAAATGCTGAGATAAGAATGCCCACATTAATGTAAAGAATAGCTGTTAGACTAAGCCAGTTCCTAATGTTCGAATCAAATGTTCTCTCAGAGTTAATGTAGTGAAAAGAACGGGGGTCAAGCAAACAAGGAATTGTGTCTAATTCTGACTGTAAATCAAACAAAACAGGAGTGACAGCAAAACTATACATTTTTTTTTTTTTGTTTGGTGCTTTTATTCTCAGTGAGCAGTTTCTTACACTACTACTCACCCAGCACATAGATGCGTCCACACAGTGCAGTGACTCCCAGAGCGCTGCGTCTGTGCCTCATGGAGGCAGCAAAGCTCCATGTATCCGTTTCCACATCGTAGCGCTCCACTGTATTCAGCTGGTTGGTGCCATCATAGCCGCCCATCACAAAGATGTGATTCCCCAGGGCACACACACCTAAAAAAAAAAGGTTTAAAAGGTTAGTTTATTCATGTGTTACATTACAGTAGCAAATCCTGCACATATTCATTTGCAAAAACTTCAACACAAAGAGCGGGGAGGCTGTTGAATTTGTCTAACGATCTCTAACTTGTCCTCACAACCAGTTTCCCTGCTTTTACACAAGTTTTTCAGGGAATGTTTGTGCTCTTCCTGACAGTAGAACTACGGAAGTAAACAGATTCACAGAAGAAACACAGTGACACAACCAACCAACTGCTGCAATAACGCCTGTGTACACAGTATTAGGCAGGCGGTTATAATGTTATGGCTGATCGGTGTAACTATGGAAAGTTTAACTCGTATGTATAATTAAGGACACAAAAAGCTAAACCCAGGTCATTCCTCATCTGCTGCTACTACAAACTAGAAATAAATGCATCCATGAAAACTGTCAACAGTGGAGATACTATTTTTTTTTCTTCATTACAACTCAGCACTGCTTGATATTGTGTTTGCATAGTAAGACCAATAGTTGTTTTCCTGGCTGGTGGTAAAATTTCTTTTTTTCCGGGTTTTGCACCTTTATTGGACAGCTTTGTGGTATAACATCGGCTCCGACATGCTACAAAAGCTATTCACTGTCAAAAACTTTGCATACATCTTAAAACCATGAATGACAATGTGCCTTACTTTCCCTGCAGACTCAATGTGAAGACTCCTGGTTTTCATTACAGAGTAGTTTCCTATGAATTCCTTACCAGCTCCTGAGCGGACAGTGTTCATGGGGGCCATGGTCTTCCATTCGTTCCTTTCTGGGTTGTAGCACTCACAGGAGTTGAGCCGGTTGTTCCCGTCAAACCCTCCTACAGCGTAAAGCAGTCGGTTGATGACTGCCACACCCACACCAATACGGCGTGTCAACATGGGAGCTACCAGTTGCCACTGGTCCCTTTCTGGGTCATACCTGCAGAGGCGACCCAACACAAACCAATTTATTTTCTAACTTTGTTCTTGGGTTTATTTCCCCGTTTTTGTCAATCAACCAGGAGGATAAGTCAATATGAGAACATTTACTATTACTACTCAGTCTGTGTTTGTCTTTATTCTGCTAGTCTGACTCAACACTCGGGCATTCAGGTTGGGCACATTCCTGTTTCCAGATATACATTTTCTGTTTGTCACTGTCATCTGAAAACTAAAGCTAGAGTTTAGATAACTTTTCAGCCAGCAATTAAGATCACTTACATAATTCACTGTAATATAAACAACCTGACATGTTAAGGACTGCGCCACAGGTGTTTGGGTTTGAGTCGTGCCTACACAACAGGACAATTACATTAGGTGTTAGCAAATATTGGAGTTGGTGCTAAACGTGACCCAGTCTCTTTGTTAAAATGCATATTGTTGAGGGCTTATTGTCCAGGCCAGTAGTTGAGAAGAAGCTGAACATGTAACTGTGCTATTTTAGAAGCACTCTCCTGCCTGTGATCAAGTCACTGAGAAAAATGAGTCTTTCATACAATTCCTGTGAAAAGCAAAAAAAAAAAAAAAAAAAAAAAATGAAAATGGCCATTTTTATTTCGTCTAACACAAACAAATCCCCTAATGAGCCAAGATGTGACAACACAGGATAAATTCGGCACTGGATTTGATTTCCTCTGTAAAAAATAATAAAAAGGTATAAAAAGTCAGCCTTTTCCATTAAATGTCATTCACTTGCCTTTCCACACTATTATGATGAACGCATCCGTGTGATCCACCAACTGCGTATATCATGCCATCGATGACACCAACTCCAATTCGGTTCCTAGGCACGCTCATTGATGCACACGGCAGCCAACAGTTGTTCATGGGATTGTAGCAGTCCAAAGCATTTGAGTCCATGTTGCCATCAGGCGCGTTGTTTCTTCCACCAACTGCGTAGAAAAGCCCGCTGATCACACAGGCTGCCAGGCCACTGCGGGGAACCTGCAGGTCCGCTAGCCTTAGCCAAGCTTCTGTACAGGGATTATATGCCTCCAGGTAGCCGAGAGACTGACGAAAATACCCCCCTGCTGTGTAGATGAGCTGTGGCACCTTCGGAGTTCGGCAAGAAATGACTTTGGTGGGCTTATGGAGAGTGAGGTCCTGGAAGATCTGGGCCAGGTAGTCCTTACACTGGGGGTCCCAGTCCAGAGATTGGAGCTGGGTCTGCAGGAAGTTGGGGGTGAGGGAATGGCAGCGCACAGCTTGGAGTAAGGCCTGGACATATGGTCGCCGGTTCTCCCGATCGTATCGCACCCAGGCTACGCATGCCTGAAAGACTTCAGACTCGCAGCGCACATTGAGTTCATCGCGGCTGATCAGAGTTACCAGCTGGCAGTGGGACAAGTTGAAAAACTCCTCCTGGGTCGCCACCTAGGGATGAGAGTAGGGATAAAAACTTTGTGCAAAAGAAATCCAAACAAGCGTATACTAGGGTTTCTGTTAATCATGATCTGGTATTAATTAATGAGAAAGTGAAACTCTATGCTATATTAGCAAAGGGAGACTACTGGTCATTATCAATTAATCTGGCAATTTTCTCAGTTAATCTATTGATTGATTAGTTTGACAAACACCAGAAACGTGTGAGAAATGCCCATGAGAGAATGACATCTCCAGATAGCTTGTTTGTTATCAACTAATAGATTAATCGACTAATCACATCAGTCTTCAGCTCTGTCATGTTTAACTGTTTCAATCCAATATCACACATCTGTCAGAAAACAGTGACTGACAACTGTCCAAACAAATCCAACTCTTGCCAAAAATAATTCATGACTGTGTGTCACACGTCAAATGTCCAAAATGATTATTGCGGAAACAACACAACTAAATACCCAGGGAAGTTGGCCTCTGGCCTCAACAGTCGTAGTATATTTCAGACCAAATCTTTGGAGAGGTGTCCATGTATCAAACATTACACTATTTGTTGTTATATATTGTAGAAATACCAAATAATGTCTCTTTTCATCTGGCTTTCCTGTTCTGAAAGCAGCTATCAAAAGATGTGGAAATTAACCACTGATAGACCTTACATGACATGACATGTAAAAAACTATGTAACCAAAACAGATTCGTCTGTAACTGCCATATATCCAAATAGAAACAGCCATTTATACTGATGGATGACTTATTTGCCACTAAGCAGCAATTACATTAGTAAACACCTGGCACAGCCCAACTACTGCCACTTCTGTTCAAAACAACAGGCAGCAAGCCAGGTTTCATTTAATGCTTGTGGTTCTAGTCCTTTTAATGAAGTCTGTGGTAGCACAATGGACACGTACCACAGAACTGCAGTGTTCCCATGCTGGTTACCTTTGTTACATGTCAAACTCCTCACATTTCCTGTTTCTACTGTCAATTAGCAAATAAGGGCAAAAAATAAATAAAACAAACAAAAAAAGAAAATCACTGGAGCTTTTGTTGGAAGTGCCACCTATCTATACCTGGCTGAAGTTCATGTAGATGTATTCTCTGGCCTTCTGGTGGAGCTCTGTGCAACCTATCTGCTCAGCGAAGTTGGCGATGCCAATGGCGTTGCTAGGGTCGAGCTGCTGGACCAGGAAATCACAGCATGCCTTGACCACGCTGTCTATCTGGTACATGACGGCGCCGTTCATCACATGGATCACACACTTCTCCCCCACAGAGATACTCGCTGTGTAGGCAAACTCTATCAGTCTGTCCATGACCTGAGTAGGTGTAAAAGACAAAGGATGAGGGAAAGATGGAAGGTGAGGAGAGGGAGAAGGAAGGAGGTGAAGGCATTTTCTCCTAGCAAGGCGCAGACAAATTGGCATCTTGTACACCAACAAGCATGTGTGCATCTGTGCTGGCTTAGGAAACATCCATCTTAAATAAGAGGGGTCAATCTAAGTGTACTCAGCCAAGTCTGTATACACCTCAACTGCTGTAAAATCTTAAAAAGTGCAGCTTGTGTCAATCACCCAGTAATCCACTGATACATCAGATGTTTAATTAACCAGGATACATCTGAAACAAAAAATACTCCTTAGTATTGAGAAAACAAAGAATAAAAAGTTGTTTTAACAATGTTTAGTACTTAAATATCCTGTATTGTTCTGGAAAGCAGTACAATACATACAAGCTATTGTTTAACAGGTAAAAATGCAACTGTCCGATCTTTATACTGATGCATCAAAATGAATGTAGTGATTTACCGGTATCAAAGAGTTACACATACTACGTGTAAGGCAGCCATATGTCCCCTTACCTCTGCTGTGATGTAACCCTGAATCACACGTGAAATGGTACATTGAAACAAATCCAGACCAAGTAAAGAGGACATCTGACTCACCCTGGGATGGATTCCCTCGATGGACACCAACTCCATACCGCACTCCTTCAGGCCATTGGTGAACATGGCTCTGAAGACTGGAGATGATGAGGCCAACACCACCTTGTGAGCCACAAAGTCCACCACCTCCAGGTCTTTGTAGCGCACTCGCAGTGTGACGTCGCACAACTGACGCTCCAGACGCAGCTCGTTCATGATGGTGAAGGCAGCTGCAGTGTGGCTCTCGAGCGTGTAGCTGAAGACACGGTGACCGTTGCGCGTGGACGGAGTCACCAGCGCTTTGTATTCTGTTAGGCACTCTGTCATTTCCTACTCTTTCTCCTCCTCCTTGGCGTTGTTCTCAAGAACAGTAGGCGGTGTTATGGGGCATCCTTGCACCACATGCAGGCACTGGTAAAATACATGTGTGAACTAAAGCTAAGCAGAAAGTTCCAGGCTCACCAGAGGATGCCTGATTTGTGTCTATGTTCAGGAATTTCTTTATGTGGACATGAGGATTTCCTTGATCTATTCAGTACTTGAGTCCAGACATACTGCTCATTATGGCATTATTAGAGCCTTCCATGTGAGCTGCCAGCCATGGCCATGTGCGCTGTAACGTTGCAGGTCCAACATAATGAAAATGTCTGATTCTTCTGGTTTTGTCCAAGGGTTCTCCTTGCATAAAAGAGTTAGAGAATAACCAGCCAAGAATGATTTTATGAATGTAAGAGATGAACACATGCAACAAGAGTCTTCATAAAGTCTATTGCAATATTTGTAATTTTGTCTTGGGAATCATCGCCTTTTAATTTTTTGTGTCCAAATGTATTTAAATTTCTCTAATATCTTCAGTAAAGCAATCTATCAGAAATGCCCAATGAACAAAATAAACATAGTTGAATATTACTGGAAATGGCTGTGAGATTCAGGTAGGTCTGTCCTGCATACCGATTCCTCCAGTGAGGGAAAAAGTTTTGATTTACTGCGTCACTTTAAAGTGGTAATAATTAAAGTTGCCTTCAGAGGGCTACAATGCTGTTGAGAGCTGCAGACAGATTCTGTAGATAAGGCAGTGGAAGGGCTGTCAACTCTGAAAGGACAAAGAAAACAGGGACTAGTGCCAGAAGTGTCATAAGCATGACGTGGAGCCCTTGGGAATGAGGGGGTGTTCAGTGGCTGCCTCCAGAGACTCCTTCCCCGAGGTTGTGCAGCTAAAGAATTTGTTTGCACCACTTACTAGGAAGCTGTGCACTCAGCTGACAGCTGCAAAAACAGAGAGACAGCAAGAGAGAGAGAGAGAGAGAGAGAGAGAGAGCACTTGTATTTATATACAGTGGTCAAAAACTTGACTAAGAATTAAAACATGTTCATATAGTCCTGCCACATATTCACTTTGTACACACATCAAAGCACTAAATGCTGACAAAAGCACCGGGCCTCATACAAGAACATTTTTCCTGTTATTGTCCTAAATTATATATATATTGTCCTTTATTATATACAGTAAAGTTTTCTGTGTGGCTTATTCATACAAATGCTCCAAGTCGACTTCACCAAACACTGTTAACTCCACAAACTTGTTGTAAAGCACTAGTTTCAGACCAACGAATGACACCTATTCATGAGGGGGTGTGCATCAGTGAGATCTGATCAACAGCATAATCACCACCTCTAAAATGTCCATGCCTAATACACGAGGTGGCCAAGGGGAGGACAATCACTGAGATATTAGAGTAGAGAATATTACTTAACTACTGACATGTATAAGTTGCTGTGATAAAATGTAACGATACCAGGACAGTCAAGGTGCACATATTCATATTGAACCGCTTCAGTACAGAAATACAACAGTGGACACAGACAAGCGGATGAGACGTCTTATTTGTTTATTGTGCTCCGGTCCACCACTTAATACGTTCATTCAGTGGTGATCGGGTAGCTATACTTTTGGCAACACATCACACTTGCCAACTCATTTGAAACAGCACCATGTGAACCTGAATATCACTGCTACAAGGGAAAACAACAACAACACCACCACAAGCGTAGTACAAAAGCTGCTTCCTTCAACATTTAAACATGTTTCCCTGGTTATTCGCACACTTAGTAGTAGTTTGCAGCAGTATTCTAGTTTATTTGCCATTTAAAACTTAAAGTAATGTGCAAACTGTTGATTTTTACAAAAGTTCACAATAAATGACAAGAAATGTTACTTATGTTATTTTTTTCTCTCACTGTACCAAAAATGAACCAAGTCATGACTGGGTAAGTACTGAGCCATGATTTCTGTGTAGCACTACACCCCTAAAAAAAAAAAACTGAATTCTGAAATAACTCAAAGCAATGACAACAATATTGTGAAGAGAATATTAACTTAGCATTAAGTCCACATGTCAAAGTGTCCCTGGGCAAGACACTGAACTCCAAGTTGCCCCGGTGGCCAGGCAGCGACTCGGACAGCGCCACCATCAGTGAGAAATTTCCACACACGTGACTAATAAAGGAATGATTATTTATTATATACAGTATATTCTTTATTAAATCAGATTTAAACTCCAAATTCATTTAATTAAAAGGCTATAATTCTGTCCTTCTCATGGTATGTTACTTTCAGTGATCATAACCCATTTTAAAACTCAGCTCCCTCCATATTCACTTCATTGGTCTCTGATAAGATTCATTTTCCCCAATGTGAAGCAGTTCACTATAGAATATCAGTTCAACTGGATAAAAGCTGGCATAAATGAAGTGAGTGTGTAAGGAATAGGGAGGGAGTCATGTCTGTTTTGAAGGATGATGGAGCGACTGGCTTGAATTTAGCTGACCAGCATGACTGAGTGTTTTTTTCACTCTGGCCTGTGACCATTCCAGCTGGGGGCTGGAACAGAAGGAACAGTTTGTGCTACAGCCGACAAAAGCCAAACAGTCTCACAGAGTCTCAGTAACAACAGATAACATCCAAACATGTTTCCACCAGCATGTAAGCCAAAAACGAAAAAAAAAACCACCTCTTCCAGTCTGCATAGGGCCACTTGTACTTTAAGAAATCTTGTGAAATGCACTGCAGTGTGAGATAAAACAAGCAGGAGACAGCTATGCAGACTAGCTTGTCAATGAATATGAAACACTTGCTCTATTAGACTGACGTGGAGGGATGATGCAAAATGATCGGTCTCTTTATCATCAGTCTATCTTTCTAGAATAACTGCGTGTAAAAGTGACACACAGTCCAAAGTACAGCCTCCCTGATGAGGAAGAGTCAGAGTTACTAAACAGCTTTTGTGAGTTTGCACATTTACATTAAAAAAACACCCTGCAGCTGTGCCCACAGTAATCATTACCTGAAGTGGCGATAAGAGGACACAGTGCACTACAAACCAAAGTTTACGGCCTTGCTGCCTCCCAGTCTGCAAACTGGTTACTGTGTACTCTTTAACTGGTAAAGATGACACACATAAAGTGTTTATGATAGCTGGAAATTTTTATTTTTCCAGCAGATGGTGACGACATGGGTAGCCATCAGAAACAGCAATGAAGCCCACTGTAATATGAAACACACACTGATTACGACTTACTACAGTGCCTTTTACCCTCTGGCTTTCTGGGAAAATAGTTTCACAGGAGAGCATATTGCTCAACTTGTTCGTTCGCTCTCCAAGGCAGCCACAAAGCACTCGCTGACAAACAGGCTGCCTGAATTTAAGTTGGTAGCCACAGCATTTGATGCAGTGGATTAATTCATGAAAAGGTTTAGTGTATGTCATCAAAGTTGACTCGGTTTATAAACAGCTTTAGCAGCATGGGTTCCCTTTTTTAATGCTAAGTTGAACAAACAAGTATTGTTCTGATAGCGCTGAACCGACTAGTCCATGGAGAGAAAATCAGATTTTGATAAACAGCTCACTGTTAGAAAAAAATGCCAAAAATCTAAGGTGAAGACTTTGCTGCCTTATTCGTCTTAAAAATTCTGGAAAGTTTCACAGCCTTGGGCTCTGGCAAGCTGAATTCTCACACTATGCCAGCCAAACAACAGCTGCATTTGAGGATTATTTTCCTTATCAATTTCTCTGCTGATTATTTCTTCTGTCAGCCTAAAAACGTCCATCATCTTTTCCTAAAGTCCAAGGTGGCCTCTTCAAAAGTCTCGTTGTGTCCATGCAACAGTTCAAAAGTGCAGTTTACAATGATGCTGATGATACAGAACAGAGAAAAGCAGCAAATTCACACAAATACCAGGCTGGAAAGATCAATTTTTGCTTTAAACATACTTGATCGATTAATCAATATACTGTTAGACTGACCGACTACTTGTTTCGGCTCTACGAGGAATCGGTCACATAACGGAGGAAACGATCAGCAGATGAATTAAAAAGGAAAACAATCTTTAGTTGCAGGACTAACCTGGACTGTCAGGTCCGCTCGGAGCGACCTGCCTCTCTTTCTTTTTTCCCCTCCTGCTCTCCCTTTTTGCGGGATCAACGCCTCAGCTGTGTCGCATCGGGTAATTAGTGACTCGTGGG